TAGTATGTAGTAATAAAATTCATTAAATATTTATTATAACATTCATGTTGAACGAAAAAAAAATACAAAAATGAGTCAGTGAAATTATTAAATGCAATCACTTTATAAAAAGTGGCTTCTAATTGATTAAAATATTGCGACCAAAAATAAATTATAGTTAAATAATCACAGGAGAGTTCCGTAAGTTTAACCTTGGTAATTCAAAAACCTCAATAAGGCAAAATTAATTTTGTTCTCTTGATAAAACCTCGTTTACTCGAAAGAAAAACAATAGCTAACTTAATGGTATTATTTATAGTTTATTATAAAGCATTGTATTTTTTTATAGCCATTTGCTTATATATATCTAGTCAAATTAATTTTAACAATTTGAATTAATTACTTTTATCACTATAGTTATTTAATGGAACACGGAAATTTTTTATAGCTTCATAAAATTTAGAATTTTCAATTGGGATCGATCGATTACTTATATGTGTTTAAGTATTAATCAAGTTAAAGATGAATAAAAGTTGATTTTTTAAATTAATCTTTAATATACATATTTTATAAATATCAATAAAAATAGATAAAATCAAATTATCTTTAAGATTTAAATGTAGCAATTTTGATAAAAAAATATACAATCAATGATTTTTATATAACTATATGTGTTTACATACATTATATTATTATATTAAATATAACAAAGTGTAGATATTAAATTTTATTTTTTACACCGACAAAGTAATCAAATTTTTAGAATCCAACACAAATTTATTAATCACGCGAAATTGAATACCCTTTAATATCCATAAAACGTATTCGACAAAGTATTCAATTTTAGTAACATAAATATCTATCCAATATTTTATGTCTTCATTTGGTGGAATACTATCTATGTTATTCGACTTATTATAATATTGGATTATTAAGTCATCCTCCAGATTTTCGTTTAATACCAAAGGCTCTTTGCAATATTCGTATTTCTTAGATAAGTCCAAGTTCAAATTTTGCACAATTTCGGTTATATATGTTGCATTACTTTTAACTGAACTAGAACTTCGATTTTCAAGTGCATCAAAAAGTTTATCGTAGTTGACATTATGTCTAACAACAAAAAAATGTAAAAACATATTGAGTTGATTAATTACTCTTTGATTAAAGTTTGACATTGAATTATAAATATTTTGGTAACTCATCAGTTTTGCTGCATATTGCCAAATCGATCTAAGCATTATCATAGTCATTGTATGAACGAAATTGCTATGGAATTTTGCTAGTCGTTTAATTTGCCGATCTGGCCAGTATTCAGCTCTAGCTTCTTCATACATAGTTTTAAGAATACTCAAAATACTATCCAAATCCACTCCCACATTGGCAATATTCTTTAATTGCTCCATATATTTATCATTAACTATAACACCATTTAAGTATAATGTGTCTTTTGAAAAATATTCATAATCTGCCGTAATTACACCGTAAAAAGCATTGTTAGTAATTTGCTCTTCCATAAGTATTTTATTAATATTGATTAAATGTTCTTTTGTATAAAATTCTTTTTTAAATTCACTACGTTTTGATTTAGAAAATTTTATATAAAATAAGGAACCTCTGTAACAATGACTAAATAAATTTTCCTTATTACAAATAGCGTTTGTTCTTTCTCTAAGATTTATTGCAATAACACTATGAATTTTTAACATGTTATCCTTAGTTTTTTTCTGCGTCTCATTAGAAGATCGGAAAAAATTATAAAGCTCATTCAAGTATACATATAAAAGCCATAACTCGCTTGTATCTACTCTGATCGCAGATACATTGTTTAACGTAGCAAGCATAAGACTTACGTATCGTTCAAATGAAAAATATACTAGAGTATCTTTATGAGGCGAATCATTTTTAAGAAAGTCTTTTATTGAATTCATATGTGTGAGAGAACTAAAGATGTAGCTACATTTGATATTAACGTACTGGTGTTCTATCAATTGTAATATTTCGTCATCTGAATACTTCCCAATATTTTCGTCACTTTTCGACACTTCTTCTACGTATCCAGATTTTATCTTTTTCAAGTTCATATAAAATACATTTAAATGATAACGTTCTTCAAAAGTTAAGCAGTTATTACAGTAAAAATATAACACATTAACTAATAATATAACTAAAACTGATATTACTCTCATTTTAAGATGTTTCTGTATCAATTATAGTTAGAGAATTTAATTATATTAACCAACAAAATAATAGAAGAATTTGCTATAAAAACTTTGGTACATTACGTATTACGTTTTTGTTGTTATTGGTACAATTGGGTTTAAAAAAAAAAATTATAAACAAGGCCATTATAACAAAATACTACTTATTTACCTTTGCTTTTTTTATCTTTTAAGAATTATTTATCATTATTGATGTAATCTAAGCTCGGTTTTTATTTTTCTTTAACATATTTTTGCTCTGTTATAAAAAATTTTTTCAAATATCTATCATTCTCCAATATTTTAAATTTATTTAATACAATATTATTAATTATATTAAAAAACTTACAAAAATACTAATATTAATTAGTGAAATTTAAATAAAATCGACCCTAAAAACTTAANATTAATTAGTGAAATTTAAATAAAATCGACCCTAAAAACTTAAACTAGGAATCCTCTATATTTATTAACCACATAAAAAAAACATCTTCGGAAATTTATGTTTAAAAAAAAAAAAAGTTAACAGTTCATGCAACGAGGATTTTCGTTTTTTGACCAAAAATGTCAATTATTAATTTATTTATAATTTAAAACATACCAAAAATATAATTATTGAAAATGAATAAAATAATTAATTTTGGTCAATTATAATTATCAGCATATGTAAAATGTAATTTTTACACGGATATTACTTGTATTATATTTTGAAATTTTTGTTTTGCAATTAAAAATTTCTAATTAAGGGAGGAATTTTTATGCTTTTAGAATATAAAATATGATTAAGAAAATTATTTTATTTTTCCTCGTTTTAGAATAAATCGATTCATAAATATTATACAATTTTTAGATCAATTATATATATATTTATTATAGGAACATATTTCCTTTTAGCAAAAATTAACCAAACTTTGATGTTTACTGATATGTATTACAAGTTTAAAAAATAACAAAATAATTTTTCATTTTTGTATAATAAGTATAAATTTCGATTACTATGAGTTAATATAAAATAGGTGATTTATAATGTTATTTTTCTTAACTCAGATAACAATGTAAGCAATAAAACAATTCAATTTAAACAATATTATTATTTATGTTTGATATAAATGACTAATTTTGATTTGTTAATACATTATTTAACTTTGATATGCAGGTGAAAAGGTATAATAAATTTTACTATTGATGTGTTTTTTTTATATCTGGAACACTTTTTATTAACTCTCACCAGACCGATTTATTTCAATGGTACGTCAAAAGATCACAATAATCGATTCTATTGTACGAATATTGTGTTTATATTTTTTGTAAAAAGTTTTTGGATCCAGCGATTTTACTTTTTTTCAGCAAATAAAATATTATTAGTTTATCGTGTTGGGAAAACACCACATATTTCTCCTTCTACCAAACATTTTTTACTAGGTAAACCTCTAATATTTTTTCATAAGCAAACTACAATTAATTGAATATACCATTGCAGATTGTTGGTATTTATACTTTCAAAAGTAAAAAACCCACTACAGGGGGGTCGCGACACAGTGGTGACGTGGCATAGTTGGATCAAGTATAATAATATCTGACGGCGATTAAAATCACTATCAAAAAAACGTTCCGATGCAAATCTTTAAATAGTGTTTAATTTTAAAAAATTGGTGGATTATTCCAAAAGCTACATGATTTGCTATATCCTTATTAATATCCTGATTAAGATAAAGAAAAAGGGATATAAATATTATTTCTCATAAAAAAATTGTTTTGATCCATTCACTATTCAATAAATTATAGCATTATAAAGTTAAAAATGTAAAAAATAAAATCGAGAATTTTCACACAAAAATAGCATTTGGTAGCCATTTTCACCATGAAGACAAGTCCAGAGGTCAAATTTTTTTTTTTCATAATAAAGTACATTTCATTACCTTTAATTTAAGATATATATAAAAGTGTCAGATCTTCCGAAACACTTTCAAAGTTAAGTTGAAAAAGTTCTACTTTCTATATGCATTTTTTATATTTGAAGCCCCCCCGTATATAGGGAAATGGTCTGATCTAAAAAATAAGTATGTCGAATGAAAGATGTATATAAATACTACTGTTCATCAAAAATTTGTATTGATCCATACATTTTTTAAAAAGTTATAGCATTTTAAAGTAAAAAATATAAAAAAAAAATCGAGAAATTTCACACAAAAAGAGCATTCGGTAGCCTTTTCACCACGAAGACAAGTCCAGAGGTTAAATTTTTTTTTTTCATAATAAAGTACATTACATATAATAAGAAATCATAGAAACGGTATTTGTAAACAAGTTATCTAAGAAAAAATATGGTTAAAATGATAGTTTATAAATATGTTGATAATATTTTTTAATATCTTTTAAAAAATTACAAACCGTATAAAATTCATAGAATAAATTTTAGTTAAATAGATTCTAAACAATTTTTTAGTTTCAATGCAAAGCCGAGAAAGTATTAATATTATAATGATTTGTTTTATGTCTGTTACAATTTATTCTTAGAGATTACCGGACCGATATTTTTAAATTATATGTCAAAAGATCACAAATAGGAACTAATCCAAGACATTACCCTCACTAATTGAAAAATTTCCCTCGTTCTCTGTAAATGGGGAAAATCCCTAAACAAATGTAAAAATTGTTTCGGTTAGGTTTGCTTGAACGTGATAGTATGAAGAATAGATATTTTAAAATGATCAAAGAAATAACATTTAAAAAAAGTTAAGAATAATTACAAGTATGTAATTTGGAAGACAAGATTTCGCTAAAAATAAGATAATATAAAAACTCAGAAACAATTACATGAAATATATTAATCAATTGTATTTTTATGTGTAAAAGTCAATATTATATTTGTTACAACGATGTAGTGTATAAAAAGCGAATGACTTAACTAAATTATACAAAACATTTTACATAGAAAAATGAAGAAGAAAACTATTATTGAAAAGGGTTTTTAAATCAAAATCTTATTATAATATTAATTTTTTGCAATTCTCAAGAATTTGTTGATATTGGAGCTAATTCTTTAGACATTGATATAAAGGAATTTATTATATCAAAATCTACACCTTGCAATATCCATTTTACAAATTCTACAATATACTGCATTCTAAAAATACTCAGTTCAAACCAATATCTTAAGTTTGTTGTCGGAGGAGTATCTCTGATATTGTGTTTTGTGTTGTAATATTGTACAATTAAATCATTCGATTTTTTATTGATATCATCTATACTAAGTGGTTTCGTTATATCACAGTACTTATAATTCGATGAAATATGTTCTAGCCATTCTTCGACTATTTTAATAACTTCAACAGCGTTAGTTTTGTAAAATAATGCATTAGTAACAAAGTCACCAAAATTTCCATCGATAACAAGAAAGTGTTCGTTGTAAGGTAGTTTAAATATTGAATGAAAACTACTAAATTGAACGATTATTCTATTTAGAGAAACAGGCAATGTTATCACCGTCATAAAAGTTTTCAACATACTTACAGAACATAAGTATATGGATTGCTCCCATAATGTTCTTAGCATAATTACTAACATGGTATTAATAAAATCAGAGTGGAAATTTGCTAGTCTTTTGATTTGCCAATCTGGCCAATATTCCGATGTAGCTTCTTCGTATTGTATTCTAAGTTTTTTGAAAACATCTTTTAGATCGATGCCAATATTAATCATACCTTCGAGCTGATTTAAATGTCTTTCATTTACCATGATACCGTTTAAATAAAGAGTGTTCATGTTAAATTTTTCGTAATTATCAAAAGTCAATCCGCATTTCACATTTGATAATATTTGATTTTCCATTAGATACTTATTCATGTTTATATAATGTTCTCTCGTAAAAAATTCTTTATTGAAAANTCTCGTAAAAAATTCTTTAGTGAAAAATGGGCGTTTTGATATTTCAAAGTTCTCGTTAAACAATGATCCACCATAATGAAAATTGAACGCATTCTTTTCGTCGCAATACTTTGCACTTAAATCACTTAGGTATTTATTGGTTATATCCTGAACTTTCATCAAATTATATTTAGTTTTTTTTTGAGTTGTGGTAGTTGAAGTGAGGTACTCTCCGATTTTTTTCACAAACATATATACAATCCAAAGTTCTCCTATTTGATTTGTCCAGCTTTTGGAATTATGTATTGTTGCCAACATTAATGTAACGTGTCTTTCGAATAATAACTCTGAAATTGTATCTTTGTGTCGAGGCTTTTCGTCTTTTAAAATATCATTAATGGCATCCATATACAGTAGAGAACTATAAATATAGCTACATTTAAGATTAGCATATTGGCTTTGTATTATACTTAACAATTCTTCATTCGACGCCTTAGATATATTATAATTAGTGTTTTTATCATATCCTGTTTTAATATTTTTCAATCGTTCAATGAGATTAATTGCTTTTGAACGGTCAAATATATCATTACAATTAGATAATACTAAATAATTCAATAGAAAAATATATAATCGGACTATCATTTTCTGTTCACTTACAAGAATCGTAAGAGTTCTAAATTAAACTAAAAATTATATGAAATTTAATTTCTATATATTATGATAAAAATAATTTAATACTTTTAAAATAATTACGTATGTTCATACAATTTTAATGATTGGTTACGCAATTTGATTTTATTTTTATACTTTTCGCCTTGAAATTAAATTGTGTATCAGTTTTTATTTAAAACATAAAAAATATGTTAGCATAACTCTAAGAAGGGTAAAATTATATATCGATGTTATAATGTCAAAGTCAAAAAAATATTTTAGGAAGATTTATACATATTTTTCTTACTACAAATAACATTTTTATCATATTCTTGCTTTAAAATTTAGTATACTTTATTTATTTAGTTAATAGAAATAGAGTAACTTGATTTATATAAATTTGTCAATTTTTTTCCTTAACACATTTGAACATTATTTGAAGATATAATAATTTGCTTCTTGTTTTACAGTCTTTTAAATGTTAGTTCAATGTTTTAAAATTCTTATTGTTTTATTCAAGTTTTAATTTACATTTAATTTTTGTATGAAATAAGAAAATAAAAAAAGCTTTTAGAGGAAATATTGCACTTAACTTTTTATTGTTGTATGTTGACCAGTAATTTTCTTAATTGGATTATTTTGTAATATATAAACTAATAAAATATATATGTTGTCATTTAAAATGATGAAATTGGTACTCTTATAAAGTATAAAGGATGGATCAAAAAAAAAAATTAATTATTTATAAATTACTAATATATAACACTTAAATTAGCAATATTAAACAATGTATTCGATATTGTCCATTTTAAATTAACAAGATAAATAAATAAACATTGATGGGTGTTTATAATTAATAATAATTTTAAAATGCGTGTATATAAACATAGTAGCAGTCCCAGAAATCTAATTTTGTTTTTAGTATAGGGGTGTCATGAACAATTATTATAATAGTTAACATGAATCGTTTAACTTTTTCCTATTTTACTATCTTTATGAAGGTCTTCAAATACATTTTTAGGACGACAAACTTATGTTTCGATAAGGTTTTAAGGTATACACTAATATAGTAAGAATGTTTTAATTATTTAATGTTATGTTATGTTTAACATAAGTTACGTTCATTTTAGCATCGATGCTGCGCTGAAAAATTATTGTTTACGCCGTGGTGGTTTTTTTTTTGTATCAATCGCCATTTTTTCTCAGATACAACTGGATCGAATTTGCGCAACGTTATTTCAAAATATCGAAAATCGTATCTAGTCAAAGGCATTACATTCATAAATTTAGAAAATTCGCTTATTTCACATGAATGGGAAGAAACGCTTCAAGAAAATTCTAAATTTTCTAATCCTTTTTGTTTAAAATTGTCATACTTTTGAAAATTGATGACTTATAATAAAAATTCTTTATATAAACATTTAGAGGTTTTAAATTAGAAACTGAACTTTTAAAAATGTTTCATAACTATTACGTCCTCCAAAAATGTTTTTAATTAAAGATTATGCAATGTACTGAACATCGAAAAAAAAAATGTTTTAATTTACTTTAAACAATTTTTTTTATATTCAAAAATTTGATTTTTAATCATGTTAAATTTTTTTTTTTTTTAATTTATAAATGTTTAAATTTTAAGTACATGCAATTTTTTAGAAAAATAATATTAAAACATTGCGCTAGAAATATAATATTGATGTCTAGCCTTTTTTGGGGAAATGTATTTAAAGTTTTAATATCTATCAATTCTAGATACCTTATTAAAATAATTTTAATTTTTAACTCACCTTTTCTTAAAACCTTCTTGGTGTAATTTTGTATTGAATTGATTTATGGATTTATCTATTTAAATTTAATTGATTTATTTAAATGTATAGTTTCATTATAAAAATAAAACCATTAAGTCATCTGGAAAGCCATTACAAAAAAAAAATCAGCTGTTTGAATATTTCAATGTTATAACTTATAGATTCGTAAAATTAGTAATATATGTAAATTACTACTATAATTTAAATATTTGAAATTTTCAGGGGGTACATTATTTATTTCTTCTCGTGCTGTAATATGTTGTAGGGATTAACAAAGATGTTAAATAACATGTCACAATGAATGCGTTTATATATATTTATATGTTTTATCTTAGATGTACTGCAGTACGATAACACTCCGTGTATTTTTTTTAGTCTCGCGCTGTTCGTCAATCCAGTGACACTTTTTATTTGTACTCTTTTTTTATGTTGTATAAAATCATTTTTCATTATTAAAAATTATTATTATAAATTTTAATTGTAGTATTTTGTAATAAATATAAACACCAAAACACTACAATGTATTATATAAAATTTTTAAATTAAACAAAAAATATAAAACACTGTAATAGAAAAATGAAACTTGGCTAGTAAATAAACTATGAATAAATGCATACCTTTCTAATATCTTGTAATCTTATCGAAACATAATTTTACGGCCCCTAAAAATTTATTTAAATACCTACATAAAAATATTAATAAGCCAAAAGTTAAACAAATAAACTAATGTTAACTATTGAAATATTTGTATATAGTAATCCTTCACTAACTATGTTTGAAAAAACATAATTAAAATACTTGAAATTATAAATCAATTGTATTTTTATGTGTAAAAGTCAATATTATATTTGTTACAACGATGTAGTGTATAAAAAGCGAATGACTTAACTAAATTATACAAAACATTTTACATAGAAAAATGAAGAAGAAAACTATTGAAAAGGGTTTTTAAATCAAAATCTTATTATAATATTAATTTTTTGCAATTCTCAAGAATTTGTTGATATTGGAGCTAATTCTTTAGACATTGATATAAAAGAATTTATTATATCAAAATCTACACCTTGCAATATCCATTTTACAAATTCTACAATGTACTGCATTCTAAAAATACTCAGATCAAACCAATAGCTTAAGTCTGTTGTCGGAGGAGTTTCTCCGATATTATTTATTTTGTTGTAATATTGTACAATTAAATCATTCGAGTTTTTATTGCTATCTTCTATACTAGGTGGTTTCGTTATACCACAGTACTCATAATTCGTTGAAATAAGTTGTAGCCATTCTTCGATTATTTTAATACTTTCAACAGCGTTAGTTTTGTAAAATAATGCATTAGTAACAATGTCACCAAAATTTCCATCGATAACAATATAGTATTTGTTGTAAGGAAGTTTAAATATTGAATAGAAACTACTAAATTGAACTATTATTCTATTTAGAGAAACAGGCAATGTTATCACCGTCATAAAAGTATTCGAGAGATTAAAGGAACATAAGTATATGGATTGCTCCCATAATGTCCTTAGCATAATTACTAACATGGTATTAATAAAATCCGTGTGGAAATTCGCTAATTTGTTAATTTGCCAATCTGGCCAATATTCCGATGTAGCTTCTTCGTATTGTATTCTAAGTTTTTTGAAAACATCTTTTAGATCGATGCCAATATTAATCATACCTTCGAGCTGATTTAAATGTCTTTCATTTACCATGATACCGTTTAAATAAAGAGTGTTCATGTTAAATTTTTCGTAATTATCAAAAGTCAATCCGCATTTCACATTTGATAATATTTGATTTTCCATTAGATACTTATTCATGTTTATATAATGTTCTCTCGTAAAAAATTCTTTATTGAAAAATGGGCGTTTTGATATTTCAAAGTTCTCGTTAAACAATGATCCACCATAATGAAAATTGAACGCATTCTTTTCGTCGCAATGCTTTAAAGTTAAAGATTTTAGGTGTTGATTAGTAATATCCCGGACTTTCATCAAATTATATTTAATTTCTTTTTGAGTTCCTACAGTCGAAGTGAAGTACTCTCCGATTTTTTTCACAAACATATATACAATCCAAAGTTCTCCTATTTGATTTGTCCAGCTTTTGGAATTATGTATTGTTGCCAACATTAATGTAACGTGTCTTTCGAATAATAACTCTGAAATTGTGTCCCTATGTCGCGGCTTAGAGTTTTGTATAATATCGGTAATCGCGTCTATATACAAAAGAGAACTATACATATAACTACACTTCAAATTGACGTATTGTTTTTGTATTAAACTTGATAGTTCTTCGTTTGTAGTTTTAGATACATCATAAAACGTAGTTTTTTCGTAACCTGTATTAATTCTCATTAATTGGTCAATCAGTTCAATAGCTTTTGAACGGTCAAACAACTCATTGCAATTGGATAATTGTAAATAACTCAATACAATAATAACTAACCGAACGATCATTTTTCATTTACATACATGTAACACAGCAATTTTTAGAAAACTAGAAGTAACAAACAATTTAAAAACTTTTGTACATAAAAAACAATTTGAATCTTTTACATGATAATTTAAAATATTTGCCTATTGCCATACAATCATGAAAATTTATATTCGCAGGTGCAAAATCATTACGCATTTCTTTGTATTATTTACTTATCTTGCTTTAAAATTTAAATAACCTATCTTTTTTTAAGCATTAAATATAAAAGAATAGTTACAAACAATCTACTGACTGTAGTTAATTTTGAGACCCATAAGTTGATATTATCGATTATTGTACTTAAATCTTCGCAAGCTATTCTATGTATAAATATACAATGCGATTTATTAAGAATAATTTTTATTAAATTATTAAGTTTCATAGTGGGGGCTCGTGGGTGCTGATGGTGTGGGTGCGACTTTAAATATATTATCGCTAATTATGGGTATAATAAATTGTGAAATTAAATATAATAATATAAAACACAATACACGTATTATTATTTTAAAGGTCGCAGTAGAAAATAGAAATGAAAATAATAGCGATTATACTATTATAGCAAACGATAACAACGAGCGTACACGTAGTTAATTCTAAAAATAAATTATCAATATAGTAATATACTAATATTTAACTGTATGGGCGACGCCGCCGGTCGTACAAAACCTGTACATAAGATCGCAGCTTTACCGTACCCGCACGCACACGATTGGCCGCTTCGTTTATAAATGCGTTTCAAAATATTGTTCGGACGACGCTATTGGTCGTCCAAGCACTGCTCGTGTGTACAAGGATATACCGAGGGAAACAACTTAAATGTTCGCAAAGGACAAATGTATTGTAACTATTTAAGAATTTGCATTTTTAATAAAAATGTAGAATTAAGAATATACAATTAATTTTCTTCTTTTAATTAATTTTAGTAGGGGTGCGATCATCACCTCCACATAATGTAAAATGAAAATTTCAATTAATTTTATAAAATATGATAAATGTTAGGTTTATTATGAAAAGAAACTTTTTTTAAGAGCTATTCTTAAAAATGATAATTATAATTATTATTTTTGGCAATACATTTGTTATTTGTCATGATTCGTAAAAATTAATTGAATTTTATTCAGTGCATTTTTATAAACAAATAATATTTCTATAAACAAAAAGATAAAAGAATTCCAATGAGGCTGAAAGATAAATTCTACAAGACTGTAGTGAGACCAGCTATGATATATGATATATATTCAGAGTGTTGGATGGTTGATAAAAAAGTAGAGCAGAGAATGAGTGTAGCAGAGATGAGAATGCTTAGATGGATGAGTGGAGTGACTAGAGTAGATAGGTTAACAAATGAGCATATAAGAGGGAGTATAGGTGTAACATCAATCGTGGATAAGATGACAGAAAATAGACTTAGATTGTTTAGTCATAATATGAGAAGAGAAGAATCGGAAGCAGTAAGAACAGTTGTAGAATTGAAAGTTGTCGAAGGAAAAAGAGATAGAGGAAGACCAAAAAAGAGTTGGAAAGTTGTTATTGAATGCGATATGAGGACAGTTGAAGTGAGCGTAGAGGATGTGGGAGATCGTGTCAAGTGGAAGTTTAGGATAAGGGTGGCCGAACCCAAGTAGTTGGAATTAAGGCGAGGAAGAAGAAGAAGACAATTTTTTTTTATGCTTAACAAAATTAATAAAAAAAAACCCAGCAAAGGGGGATCGCGGCACAGTGGTGACGTGGCATAGTTGGGACAAGTATAATGATATCTGACAGTGATTAAAATCACTATCAAAAAAAGACGCTTCGATGCAAATCTTTAGATAGTGTTTAGTTTTAAAAAATTGGTGGATTATTCCAAAAGCTACATGATCTGCTATTTCCTTATTTATATCCTGATTAAAATAAAGTATGTCGAATAAAAGAGGGATATAAATATTATTTCTCATAAAAATTGTATTGATGTAAAATGTAAAAAAAAAAATCGAGTATTTTCACACAAAAATAGCATTCGGTAGCTATTTTCACCGTGAAGACAAAATAAAGTCCGAAATTTTTTTTCCATATTAAAGTACATTACATTAGCTTTAATTTAATATATATATAAAAGTGTCAGACTTTCCGGAACACTTTCAAAAGTTAAGTTGAAAAAATTAATTTTGTTGATGTTGGATCACTGCTCGGCTTGATTTTTGAGTGTTTTGTGTTAAATTCACCTTAGGTACGTTGATTAATACGAATTGATGCTCAAAAACGGTGGGTATTAGAAATCAATTCTTCAGCGACCGAAGTATATATTTTACAATTGATTGCGTCGGGTTCGACTATAATAAGTAATGGACTAAAGATTGATTGGGTATTGTCCGATATCATCCTTCACTATATATTCATTTTTTGTAGTTGACATTAAAACTTTTTTTCATCTTGGGACGAATAAACATAAGGTTAGATTGTACATTATATGTTTTTTTTTTTTGTATAAATATTAGTTAAGAAAATTTTTTGTTGTTATATTTTAATATATTTGTATAAGTGTAAATTATTAACTATAGATTTAAGGTATAAATTATTGTGGTTGTTACATTGAATAATACCAAGAGGGAAATACAAATTACAGTCCACAATATTTTATTTTATTCTTTTTTTATTTAATTTAAAATGAACCGACAGAGACGAGATTTAACTTGTTGAGTGGTCATCAGAGTATTTTGAGTCGCACAGTTGCTATTTGAAAAACTAAAGTTCATATTGATTAAGGGTTAAGAAATGGAGAAAGAATCTTTATTTTTCTTGTCAAATAGCTGAATAAAGATTTATAACAAATAAAATAATTACATATATGATAATACTGTTATTATTAAAGAAAATTAGTGAGTCACAGTTAATCAATCGCCCTGTACATAACTATATTATAAATGTATTGTTATAATCAGATATTTACATAGGTGTCTTTATAGGCGACGGGTCGTAGTCTTTTAAATTAATAAAAAAAAACATTCAAGAAAAAAGTAAAAAATATAATGTCTAATTAGTTAAGTTTTGATTATAAAAATAATAATATCAATCACATATTTTTTAAATTAATATGAAAATTTAAAAAATTATTACCTTATAAAGCCACAAAAGAAATTACTTAAAAAATAAAATCTCACATACGTGTTAGGGAAACGTTACTATTGTGGTAAACTGGATTTTCTACGTCCAATTTGCCCACGCGGATGAGTGTAATCGAGAAGAGTCAAAATAATAACTATAATGTAACATTCATCGATTGTACACTGACCACCGAGTGAGTGGTCAGGTCCCTTTTTATTAGAAATAATAATCAATTAACAATACAATTAACAATGCTTCTAGTGTTAAACTTTCTAATGCGATTAATAATAATCTATTATTTACTTTTACTTTCTAATAATAAAAATTCCTTAAAACTAATATTTACATATAGTTATGGGTTCATGACACCATCACCCTTAAAGAGAAATAATATCTTCAGATATTATTTCTTACAATTTTAAAATATATTATTTATTATATTTAATTAAAATACAGATAATTTTATGTTAAATTTTCTAGTAACCTACGTCTAAATCTAGTATTATAAATAAATCGTTCTTGTCTATTTACAATTGGATTTTCTTCTAAGTTTAAAGGTTCTAATTCTATTGTGGGTTGGTTATTAACGGGTTTTTTCTTACAATATTTTATATAAATATATACAATTACAACCACTAATAGTAATCCGAAGGTTTTAAAAAGTAAATTTATTATAAACTTATTATCGTTATAAAATTCGTAAACGTGTTTGTTTGCTAATAAGTCGACGATGCGTTCTTGGTAAGATAATTGTTCATTTAATTTATTAAGGGCTGCCTGGTCGAGTTTCACATTTTCCATTCTTTCGAGGTGTATGGGTTTTTGTGCAATTCTATTATGTATATAATTGCAACAACTTGAGTCCAATAGACTAAACTCCAAAGGTATCGACTCAAATTTTGATTCTAATTGAGACTGAGTAGCCTCAAGAGTAACTGATGGTGTTATTGCCATGCAGTTCTCTTTTAGGGATAGCCTTCCACTTTTATTTATAATTATTTTTTCAACTATAGTGTGTGCATTGCATGATATAGTTACTACGGTATCCTTTACCATGACAAAATACTAATTATTTGGGAAGTAGGAGTGATACCAACTTTCCGAGCTAAGTTGTGATATATAAACATCACAAGTCGACGGCAGGCTATATTTATTATTTAATAAGTCCGTTTCGCATATAGGGACCTTGTCTGTACCGGAAAAGAACGCGTCACTTTTGCAAACAAACACATTATTTAATAATTGACAATTACTAAGGCTGTCGAATTTGATATAGTGCGATATTAGATTATCCGTAAAAAGATATTTGACATTTTTTGTAAGATGAATAAATTGGTTTTGATTATTAAAAGGAATAAATATTGGTACAATGTGATAAATTATATAATTATTAATACTACTTAACGGTAACTTAATTTTAAAAATTAGTTTATTATTATTATATATAGTTTTAATTTCTAAAATTTTAAACATTTCGTTAATGTTATCAAGGTTTACATTTATTGGTACTTGAAGGTTATTAGGTATTTTAGTTAAAATATGGTTTATCTCGTTTAAAAATTGTTCTGGTTTTATTACTATAGGATGTAATTGATTCCTCTGAGAAAAAATAATGGCTAAAATTAATTTACTTATGGTTTTATCTAGAGATATAATATTATTCTCAACTAAGGATTGGGTAATTATAATATTTTCAAAATCTACTGAATCAGCTGTAATATTCTGTAAGCCAGATATGGACTGGGAGATTTTTGCTAAAGTGTTATCAAATATTATTTTATTTTCATTAAACGAATTAATAGAAATTGAAATAATTGTTTTTAATTTGCGTTATACAAGTTCCAATGAAAATGTTCTCGTTAATTACTATTGGGTCATATATAATACCGGTTGTGTTATTAGTTTGAACAGTTTTTACTTTAATGATAGATTCTGACAAGCCTTTAATCGAGTAATTATTAGTAAGAGAAAGTTCTATTATGTCAATTTTTTCGTGAAAATAGAATTTTAATTCTTTTTTACCTAAATCAATAATTTTAACATATTCATTAAAAAAATCGTACCCAAGAATACCATGAGACTTAATGTTAAAATTGTTTGAAACTATGTAAAATACATGTGTTATTGTTTTATATCCTATTTTTAAATTGATTTTAGTATAACCTAGACTGTTTGTATTTCCAGCAATACCTTCTAACGTGGTAAGAGAATTATCCCAATGCCTATGTCCTTTAGGTAAGTCTCCTATTTTAATTAAACTAGCTTGTGCTCCGCTATCAATCATAAATGTAACATTTTTATTCAAATCTGATGAAAAAATTTTGCAATAAGGTATATCATTTTGAGATGTATTTACGGAAGATATTTGTTTAGAATCATTAAAATTAAAATTTTTACTAGTACTAGGTTCGTTCTTATTAGAATTTTTTAATTTATAACATTCATCTCGAGTATGAAAATTTTTCTTGCAATAAGTGCAGAATTTTTTATTGTTATTTTTATTATTACTAAATTTATTAGAGTTATTATTAAAATTCTGAGTATTTTGAGAATTATTTGTATTGTTATTATTACGAAAAAAACAACTTGATGTACTATGATTATTTTTATGGCAAATTTTACAAGAGTTATTAGGATTATTTGAATTAAAAGAATACTTAACTAAATTATTTTCAGTATTAAGCCTTAATTCTTCTTGTTTAGCAATTGCGATTGCATTACTTAAGGTTTTCGGATTATTAGCTAACACGATAATTTTAATTTGGTTATTGTGAAGACCTCTTTTAAATGCGCCTAAGGCCTCATCTTCACACATATCCCCAATGGCTGATTTTTTTATTTTACAAGTTAATTTGTAAGTATAAGCCTGATAAAGTTTAAATTCTAATTTTTCTACTCTATCGCCAAAATCGTTAATTTTTTCATTTTTATTCTGTTTAATGGTTTGTAATTCAACACAAAGTTGATCTGGACGAATTTCTTCTCCATAATTTTCATTAAGAAGGATTTTAAGTTCCGACCAGTCTTTTATTTCTACAGAGTCAATTAATTCTCTAGCTTTGCCTTTAATTTTCAGCTTAATGGCTAAAAACAGTTGTCTATGCTGTTCAGCCGTAGCCATAATATAAACATCATTTACAGCATTTATGAAATTATTTAAAGTATTAGATTTTCCTTCAAAAGGTTCGCCTATTAATTGAGTTAATTCGTAAATAGAAAAATTATTTTGTGTAGCCATTATTTTTTGTTAATTTTTTTGTAAGGTTCGTAAAAAAAAAAAAAATTTTTTTTAAAGAAATTTTACCAATAGCAGTATTTTACAAAGTAAAACGTATTCTATTTATTGCTTAAACTAAAATAACTATACTATAATAATTGTATTTATTAGAAAAGAGCCACGAAAAACAAATATTTCATTTTTCAATTATTGTTGAAAGTGCCGACGTTAGATCTCTTGAGATGGTTTCAATAATTTGTCAATTTCTTGTGATGTCCAACTGAACGAATTTACCAGGGATGCCAAATAATATGTGGTAAATTGGATTTTCTACGTCCAATTTGCCCACGCGAATGAGTGTAATCGAGAAAAGTCAAAATAATAACTATAATGTAACATTCATAGATTGTACACTGACCGGTGGTCAGGTCCCTTTTTATTAGAAATAATAATCAATTAACAATACAATTAACAATGCTTCTAGTGTTAAACTTTCTAATGCGATTAATAATAATCTATTATTTACTTTTACTTTCTAATAATAAAAATTCCTTAAAACTAATATTTACATATAGTTATGGGTTCATGACACCATCACTAATGCTTAATACATACTGAGACCCATAACGAATAAATTCCTTATATACCCTTAATGACGTTATCTTTAAGTAACATTATCACATTTATACATTTAAAACAAGTTTAATAATACATTTTTCAGTGGTCTAAGATCCCAATTAATTAAATTGTTCTTTTTTTAAGTATTTCAAATGCCTCCCTTATATTAAGTTCATTGTAATTATTTATGTTTTTAATTAAGTTTATTGGAGTGATTATGTGTCAATGTTCAGCAACAGAAGATTTATAAACTTATTGAAATATAATGTTTCTTTAGTGTTTTTTAATCAATATCCCTTTATTTATAATTATTTGCCTTACATAACATTTATTACAATTTTCACATTGTATTATATAAATACCCGATTCCCCCCTTTTTCTACTTAACTTTTGGATTACATAATAAATCTCTTAAATGTTACTAAAATAATACCAAAATTCTTAACAATTCTAACTAGACCATTCGAGATACCCAGATAATATAAATTGGGCAATATAATTAGAATTAGATATTTTATAACTTTATACTTAAATAATTACAAAGAACCTAATACAAGAGAGGCAATAGAAATGTTTTTTTTTTATTAGCTTTCAATACAAAGTATTATTATGGCTTAACAATTAAGAAAATTAACAATTAAGTATAAAAAGAAATAAAAATAGTACAATTGATCTTACATCAACGAAATTACAATAAAATTACAGTAAAAATAGTTAAACTAAAAAACCAGCTGACTGAATGAAAGAAATTACATAGAGAATAGTTGAATTAAGAATAGTGTAATAGGAGATATTATGACGAGATAAATAATTAAATAAAATAGAACGATTTCTTTCAAAAGCACAGCAGTCAAAAATTATATGAGGAAAATCACAGAGAACTTTATCGTCATTTTTGGGACAGTAAGGAAAATTGTTAAGGGACATTTTGTACGCATGAAAAGGAAGGCGATTATGACAAAGTCTTAGCCGAGAAAGGATAATATATGGAACCGGGAGAGAGGAAGTTTATGGAATCAAAGGTGATTAGGAATAGTTTGTGAAATAGATTTGTGCCAAGCAGCGACGAGAGAGAAAGGAGAAGACCAATTTTTGCCATGCATGAAATATCGTCTTATTAAGGGGTGAACAATAGAAATGTTTAAAAATAAGAACAATTTAATTAATTGGGACCTTGGTCTATTGAAAATTTCATTATTAAACTTATGTTAACTGGAAAAATGTGATAATGTTACTTAGTGACGTCACTAGGGGTATAGAATAGTGTTATTTTTTGTCTGGCGGTGATAATGGTAACATTGTTCCTGAAATACATAATTTTTTGTGCCATTTTGATTTAAATATTTTTAATTTTAAATAATTAGCCACAAGTGATCGATTTTTATTATATAATATCAATTATTAATACCATAATTTTTTTTTTATTTTAGATAAGAAAAGTCAATTTTTAACAACCATATTTCTTTGTAGCATTAAAAAGTTTTTTAATTTACTTTACACAGTTTAAACAAATCATTTATTCAAAGAGTTATACATTTTTGACATAAAAGAATATATTGAGCGATTTTTAGTAATTCCAATTATAAAATGTATTATAATTCATAATATAATATAATTTTAATACTACATTATATAAAATCTACAAAAATGCTTAAAAAATATGATACCTTATGGTAGTTATAAAATTAAAACATTAGTTAAAGTATCAATAGCATAGTTATTTACCATTCTTTTTAAAAATAAAAAACTTTTGACAGAGATATAATAATAACTTAAAAAAATAATGTTAAAGACACACACTTCATATATCTAAATCATATTTTAAACATAAAAATATAAACTGATTTATGTACATATAAATAAACTATCACTATTTTATTTTAATTTTCATTAAATATTTTTTATTATTGATTTTGAATGCTGACAACTTAACTGAAAAAATTGAAATTATTTATTATTAAATTTATATAAATAGTTAACATTGGTTAAAACTACTGAATTATAAGCAAGTCTTCAAATATTTAGATTACAATAGTAATTGACAAAAGATGTATGAATATAAATGTTAAAAATCACACTGAAATATATTATTATGATTATTAAAATATAAAAGTATTGAATTAATATGATCAAACTATAGTTGAATGTAAATTTAATTTATTTATGTTTTACATAATTTTGTTATAAGTGCTAATAGTTATTTTGAAAGCAGCCTTCTAAAAGGAAAAGGGTACTAAATTTAGTTGGTTCAATGACTTTAATCTAAATAAATAAGTTAAAATAAATGTAATATAATAGTTTCAATTAAATTTACATTTAAGTTAAATATCTAAATTTGAAGTTAAATACTTGTATTTATTGTTAGAAATGTTATAAAAGTATTTTATTAAATAACATATATACAATGCTTTTAATTAATCTAATAACAATAAAATTCAAATAATAGCAAAGATTTAAAATTGTATTCTTAAATTAAGTTTTAAGAATTCAAATTTTTTTACAAATCATATATTAAATTTAAAAAATGATAAGGAAACCAATTTATTTAGTTATTTCAACACTTGCTTATAGATATACAGTGTTTTTTAACAGTTAAACAAACTGCTATTTATTATTTTTATAATGTAATCATTAATAAAATACCAAGTAACAAATAACCCTGTATTTGTTTGAATATTTTAATGCTTATGTTTTTTTTCTATTTTGGTAAGTAGTCTTATCAGTAGATTGTTCTGTCAATACTTTCAAACGCAAATCTTCTATTAATGACATTGGCAACGGTCCAATTTCAGAAAACATGTTCTAAATATAAATTAACAAATTAATTTTTGAATTTGACTAACAATTATAATTAAATAAAGTGACACAAAATATTCCTAATTTTTTTTAATGTTTGATTATTTATTACTAGCGTAAAGATAGCTACTGCATTCGAAATGAACATTAAATGAAAGAGTTAATAGCTATTTTATATAAAGTAATCTCACAAATTATAGGAAATTTAATTAATCATGTACCTTAACAAAAATGTGGCAATTTAAAGGATATGGTTGTTGAACCATTATTTTGAAAAATTCAGCTAAAGATACAATATCCTCACAAGATAAAATCTCTTTTCTATAATGTTTCACTAAAGCTAAACCAACTCTGAAAATTACTTTGGAACCTTCACTAAATAAACAATCCCATATTCTTAGAACAGTCTATAAATTCAAAATATTATAAGCAGGCTGTTCTTATTGGATTTTTCTGATATAAATTTAAAAAGTACCTCAACTGGTAAAACTTCAACAAAGAGACAAATAAACCACTTAGTTACAATTAATGCCCAATGCATTCCTATTGAGTTCATATGATCTGATACATCTGGGAATTTTTTCCTGAAAAATATAATATATTATACAAACTAATTCTAATTTGTAAAGGAGAATGCCGCCACTTATCAAGTTTTTATGCTCAGCTTGGTCATGGAAACATAAATTTTTCTAAAATTAACCCTTTCAAAACCGAACTTTTTATTTTTTGTTTAAATGCCTCAAATTAAATTTTTTTATAAATGGGTAACCAGAAAAATCCATTTTTATCTTTAAAAATTTTTTGAACATAAAAAAATTATTTTATTATATTTTTATATCATTTAAAATAATTTGGGGTTCTAACTTCAAAACTATCGTTGCAAATTGGAAAAAAAATGATTGATAAGCAAAAGTGTACTAAAGGTGTTTAAATACTAATTTTGAAGGATGGTTATGGTTTTGAAATTAAAAAAAAGGATAATTAAAAATTCAGTTATTCTAAAACTATAGATAATAAAACTAAAAACTATTGATAGTTTAATCTGATTTCGGGGTGATTACAAAATAATATATATATATATATTTTGAATAAGAATATTATATTGAACAAGAGTTTAGGTTTGCTTCACAATTAACATATAAAATTAAAACCAAAATTCTCTTCAATTAAGGTTATTTTTAAACATTATTTGAAAAAATAATAATTTTATTAATAAAATATGTTAATTATTACAAAGGTATAGTTTTTTTCAAATACTATATTTTTTGAAGTATATTCCATTTGCCTACATGACATGGTGTAGAATTGAAAAATTAAGCTAGTGATCTATAACCTATAAATTATGACATGTAGAATATTTTTTTTTTATAATAATAAACTTACTGTACAAGACGAGAAAAAACTTCAATATCTATTATTACACCATTCATAGTTTTAGAATAATAATCAGGTAATTTTTTTTCAATTAATACTTTAAGTAGCCAAAAACATACTTCTTCGTCTTTAGTAACTAATAATAACAGTCCAGCTATATAGTTTAAACCCTAAAATAATATATAATCTGATGAATTTAATAATTTTTATCAAATAAAAATTAGATTACTAAATATAAAGTTATTTGTTAACTATGATGTCTCATGGATTATATATTCAAGATTATATTTTATCATATAATTTTATTTTTTCAGAAGTATCCTATACATTTTAATTAACACAAAAAAACATAGTTTTATCATCTCTTCTATCCATTTAAAATGTATGCTTTTTAAATATTAATAATGATTAATGAGAATAAAATGGAAATATACACATTTTACTGGTTTATATAATTTTTATGCAAAAGTTAATATTACCAAACATGTATGTTTTTATTTAAAAAACTCAAATTAATACAATTTTAGGGGCAAATAAGAGTGGATAGAATTATATTTTTTGTGTTAATTTAAGTAAGTAAAATATTTATATCTTCTGAATATTAAAAATTAAATTTTATCTAATAATTTTGAATATATTATGTGAGTCATAGTTAGAAAATCATTCTAAATATTAAAATAAAAAACTTTATACATAAATATGTGATCCAAGAAAAAAAAATTTTAATTCAAATTGAACAAATTTTCATAATTGAATTAAAAAATACATACTCATGAAAAAAAATTCTGATTAACTTTATTAAATATTTGAAAAGTATTTAAGTCAGAATTATACAATATGAATCAAATTTGCTCTAGAAATATAAATAAAAAAATATTTTTATTTGTTTTTCCATAGACCAAAGAAATAACAAAACAATAAAGAAAAGTTATATATGTATATAAAATAAACATGGTTGTCTACAAAGTTTTGACAACACATATAGATTTTTTAATGACTTGTCAAAATATTATGGGTCATCCTGCATACAATATTGAAAAATTGTTCCTTTATGTTTGTTTTAAAGAAGTCTGTTTATAGTATTAATAACATGAGATAAAGTTACTTTTTACCTGACAGTAACCTATGTACGGATTATTAGCAGCAAATGCATAAAGTATTCTAAAAAGTGCTTCCTGATTTTCTAGTGTTTGATTAAAATAAATATTTTCAGGAAATGTCCTAGGAGTATCAACTGTTATAATTTCTTTAATATCAGGACTAACTGATTTTCTTAACATTTTTTTATACAAATCAGATTCATATTCTTCTTTCATTTTAGGTATATCACTGACAAATGACCATACCTACAAAGTAAATAATAATAATTACCTATTCAGAGTATTAAATTAAAAAAAAATTCTTTATTTTATCTGTGTCAGTAAGAACCTAGAGCACTATACGGATTAGATTATTAAGGTAATTTAGAATAATATTAGAATTAATTCTATCAACTTGAATTATAGTTTATAAAATGTTAGCAAAATTATTTAACATTTTTCAATTATGTTTAACAAAAATTTTTAAATAACATATAGAAAATATAATACGGTTGTAAACACTTTTTAATTAAATTACATTGATTTTAGCAAGTAATTAAATATGCACAGCAAGATCAAAGCACTAATTAAGAAAAAATTATATGCTGTTTGTAACTCATAGGTCAAATAGATACTGTTAATAGTTTCTAATGATTTTAAGGGTTTTGATGTACAATATAAGGAAGTATTCATTATTTGTATAGATATTTGCACAATTTTGGTCTAGAATGTACTATAAAATTGAAAAATTAACCATTTTTTTGCTCTTCAATTTGGGCTAGATAGTCATCCATCTATTAATTTTATCTTGCTTTCCTTAAGAAATCATATATATTTTTAAATGTCAAGTGATTTCAAATTTATCTAATACTAATATAAAATAAGAGGTATAAAAAATTAAATAGAAATATGTTCTATTAAACTATTAATCATAAGTATACACGTTAAAAAAAAAATTTAATATACAATCAAGAATTAACAATTTTATTAAATTTCAACATTTTCAAGTTTAATTTTCATCTGAATAACTATTTTTGATGAAGTTTATTTTAGATTATATTAAATTGTTTTTCAAAAATGTTTTTTAAAAACTTCTAACAGAAGTGAATTTACAAAAACTATTATTTTCATAATATATACCTGAGATCTCAAAGACAGTGGTATGCCTTTTCTAATGTATTTTTGTAAGCGAACACCTTTTCTTAAAGGTTGATTGTATATTAATAAACAGGACCAACTTCTGGATTGCTTTGCGAGAATTGTTAGATAAACTTTCATAAATTTCTCATATTCATGATAATCAAAACCCTTAGGTCTCTCAAATCCAAACTCGTCAAATTTACTAAAGGAAGTGTATAAAATATTGTTGGATTATTTTTTATATTGTTAGCAACTATACATTTAATTAACTAATCTAAATAATCAAATACCTGAAAGATGATGCAGACATTATCAATAATCATTTAACCTGTAAGAATAAAAACCAAGATATAAAATACTTTTAATATAATTTAAATGCATCAAAAATTATTTTTAGGATTTATGGGCGGTTTTGTATCAAATATAAAACTCTTGTATTATCTTTAGAGGACAGACAACCAGAAATCTGTAATTATACAATATAAATATAAACTACGTTTGCTGAAAATATCAGAGTGTAAACATAGGTAGTTAAGTTGTATTACAAACAAATTTGAATAATAACTGAGCAGACGTATTTTATAGATGTAGCTAATTTTTATTTTGAACAGTAACTGATCAACAACCTTGAATCTTATCACAAGCAATGTTCTGATAAGTAGCAGGTTGTGCTATTTTGATGCAGGCTCAGATTACAAATAATTTAATTTAAATTTAATTTAACTTACTTTGTAGTCACTAAATAATGAAAACCAGTATGAATTAATATCTGCCTGTGAAGAAAATCATGATTGTAAAACGCCTTTATGAGAATTAAGAAACTTTGACTTTATTATTTTTCAAAGCTAATTATAATTCCGAATATAATGAAATTATTATTTATTGTTATATATATATATATACATATTATGAAGCTAAAACAAAATTTGAACATTATTTAATTTGAATGATGATTATTTTCAATTTGAAACATAAAAGTTACTTTTATATTTTAGCTTCGATGCGAAGCTGAGAAGGTATTGGTTTTACTATGATGTGTTTTTTTTTTTTTTTTTTTTTTTTTTTTTTTTTTTTTTTTTTTTTTTTTTTTATTTTTTTTTTTTTTTTTTTTTTTTTTTTTTTTTTTTGTGTCTGTTACCACTTTTTCTCAGCTCTCACCGAACGGATTTCTTTCAACGATACGTCAAAAGATCACAAATCGTATCTAGTCGAAGACATTACCCTTCAAAATTGAAAAAATTTCCCTCGTTCCCCGTAAATGGGGGAAACCTCCAAAAAAATTACAAATTTAAAAATCGCTAATTTTCGAAATTTTTTCAATTTTTTTTACTAAAAACTGCCGTAACTTTTTCAAAAATGAACATATCAATATAATTTTTTTTTATATAGATGCTTGATGTCATTACCTATTATTTGGTATATTTTTTTTGTAAATTTGACCTTTTATCTGCCCACAGGGGGGGATTTAAAATGACAACTTTTTCACAAAAAATTAACTTTTTCAACTTAACTTTTGAAAATGTTCCGGAAGGTCTGACACTTTTATATATATCTTAAATTAAAGCTAATGTAATGTACTTTAATTTGAAAAAAAAAAATTTGACCTCTGGACTTGTCTTCATGGTGAAAACGGCTACCGAATGCTATTTTTGTGTGAAAATTTTCGATTTTATAATTTACATTTTTTACTTTAAAGTGCTATAACTTTTTAAAAAATGTATGGATCATTACAATTTTTTTATGAGAAGTAGTATTTATATAGGTCTTTCATTCGACATACTTTTTTTTTTAATCGTACCATTTCCCTTAATACAGGGGGGATTCAAAACATAAAAATTCATATAGAAAGTAGAACTTTTTCAACTTAACTTTTGAAAATGTTCCGGAAGATCTGACACTTTTATATATATCTTAAATTAAAGCTTATGTAATATACTTTAATTTGAAAAAAAAAAATTTGACCTCTGGACTTGTCTTCATGGTGAAAATGGCTACCGAATGCTATTTTTGTGTGAAAATTCTCGATTTTATAATTTACATTTTTTACTTTAAAGTGCTATAACTTTTTAAAAAATGTATGGATCAATACAATTTTTTCATGAGAAGTAGTATTTATATACATCTTTCATTGGATATACTTTTTTTTTAAATCAGACTATTTCCCTATATATGGGGGGGCTTCAAATATAAAAAATGCATATAGAAAGTAGAACTTTTTCAACTTAACTTTTGAAAATGTTCCGGAAGGTCTGACACTTTTATATATATCTTAAATTAAAGCTAATGTAATATACTTTAATTTGAAAAAAAAAAATTTGACCTCTGGACTTGTCTTCACGGCGAAAATGGCTACCGAATGCTATTTTCGTGTGAAAATTCTCGATTTTATTATTTATATTATATTTAACTTTATAATGCTATAACTTATTGAAAAGTTTATGGATCCACACAATTTTTTTATGAGAAATAATATTTTTTAATAAACCCTTTTTCATTCGACATACTTTATTTTAATCGAGATATTAATAAGGAACCAGCAGATCAAGTAGCTTTTGGAATAAAACACCAATTTTTTTAAAATTAAACACTATCTAAAGATTTGCATCGAAGCGTTTATTTTTGATAGTGATTTTAATCACTGTCAGATATCATTATACTTGATCCAACTATGCCACGTCACCACTGTGCCGCGACCCCCCTGTGCTGGGTTTTTTTTTTTTACAACTATTGTAACATTAAATAAATAAATAAAACGGTAGCACAGTGGGGTCGCGGCATAGTTGGGACAAGTATAGATGATATCTGACAGTGATTAAAATCACTATCATAAGAAACGTTTAGATGCAAATCTGTAGATAGTGTTTAATTTTAAGAAATTGGTGGATTATTCAAAAGCAACTATAACTCTTATTCCCTTAATTTTATCCCAATTTATAATTATAATATATGAATACATAATAATTATAGTAATTTAATTCAGTATGTAATTGATATTCAATAATATAATATTGTAATTTTTACATTTAATATTTCTTTACTTTTAACGCGTATAAAAATGTAAAAGAAAACAGTGATTTTAACCAAACATTGATCTTTTCTCGTAAATATATTGTAAATAGTAATTATAAAATTTTCGGACTGCATACTAATCTTAACAATACTAATTTTTTTATAAACTTAAAGTAAGAACACTTATTTCATTACTGAATTATGCTAAATAATGTAATTAACAAAGCCAAAGATAATGCAAAGTTTAAATTGAAAATAAATTTATTTGAAATAATTTTTAACGTATCCTAGAGTTACACATTATTAAAAAATTGTTTTTAAACCACTTTAGCTAAAAATGGAAAGTTGGGTCTGAAAGTTTTAATTGATTGATACGATGAGAAAATTTTTCAATCTATTTAACGAATTAATTATATAAATTCACAGTTATAAGCATCAACTTGTTTTGGTATGTTTTTGGCTTTACATTAAACCAATGATAATTGAGGAATTGGTTTTTTAACATCAGTACAATGTTTTTTTAACCCTCTATATAATTGTTGAAACTTTTGCTGATTGTATTTTGGATCTTTAGTAGGATTCATTGGATCCATTATGCAAAATTCTTTATGTTCAAAATTAATTACTGCAATAATTCAATATTTCGTTTTTGATAATTCTACATACCATAGCATAATGACAGTACTATTTTTTTCGAAATAATACCTATTTTTCTGTTCTTGATTTTTTTGCGTACTACTTAAAACAGTATAAAACTTTTAAGACTGTTTGTTTATTCATAGACTGTATGGTCAAACTAATATCAATTACAAAGTTGCTTAGCCAATTTCCTCCATAAAGACAATTAAAATCATTAATGTCTAATGTTTTTAAAGTATATATTGTCAAATTAGGTATGATATGATAATAGGTACCAACTATAAAGTTACACAATTTTATTTAGTTATTTATTAATTTCTTGACTCTATTTGAGTGGTATACTTCCAGTCTATAGACTATTATATTTTAATAATAGATAATTATTATATATAATTTTATATATTTAATATATAATTTTAAAAATAGATGTCCATCTATTTTTATTCAATTTAAGTAGACTTTCTAGCTCTATACTATGTTCAAAATTAGAAGATAATTCTAAACGTTTCACAAGACTTCATTACTCTTGACTGCAAATTTCTTTTTTACAGTAATCACAGTAGTATATACAACTTTCGGTAAAACTGAATAAGATATTATATATACTACGGTTACAATTCATTAAAGCTTTTATAAAATCTACACAATCTTGTTGCTCATTTCTAGTGAAAATCTTGTTGTTTAAAGTGTTATCAATATATTTTCTTATTTCAAACGTATCAGTTACTTTATTAGTTTCATAGCCAATAAGCTGTTGTTTCAATTTTTCTCCAACTTGACCTCTACGAATCGCACTTACTAACTTATCACAATGATATAAAGCTTGAATAACAGAGTTTGCATAATATGTTACATTATCTATATTTGCAAAGCCAATGATTTTTTGAGAAATCTTTATTTTACTTATATTTATTTTATTTTTTTACAATTTTTAACTTCGATACGAAACTAAGAAGGTATTCATTTTACTATAATGTTTTTTTTTTTGTGTCTATGAATGCTCAATCTCAGCTCTCACTGGACCGATTTTGATGAACAATAAGTCAAAAGATTACAAATTGTATCTAGTCAAAGAAATTACCCTCAAAATTAAAAAAAAAATTCCCTCATTCCCCGTAAACGGGAGAAATCACCCAAAAAATTACAATTTTTAAAATCGCTAGTTTTCGACATTTTTCAGCTTTTTTAAATTAAAACTGCCATAACTTTTTTAAAAATGTTCGAAATAGTATATTTTTTTTTTGTATTGATACCTTAGGTATTTACCTATCATTTGAAATATTTTTGTGAACATTTGACTCTTTACCAGCACACAGTATAGGGTTTCAAAATGATAACTTTTTCACAAAAAATTAATTTTTTCAACTTAACTTTTGAAAATGTTCCGAAAAGACTGGTACTTTTAAATTTATCTTAAATTAAAGCTTACGGAATATACTTTAATTTGAAAAAAAAAATTTGAACATTAAAATAGCATGTATTTTGACTACGGAAATCATTTACACATAGAAGATTGGTCGTTGGGACAAATTTTTTTTTATTTATAGTTCTTAACATAAGCTTTAATTTAACATATGTGTTAAAGGTCACAGTTTTTTCGGAATATTATCAAAAGTTAAGTTGAGATAGTTGAGTTTTGTAAAAAAGTTGATATTTTGAATCTCCCTTGTTGGTGAACAGGTAAACGGTTCTCTCCAATTCAACCACCCGCACTTAAACCTGTGTCTAACATATTCATCAATACCATCACAAAATATTTTGTGAGCATGTTGTAGAAATATTCCAAATAGAATATATTTTTTATTATATTTATGGGATATTGTCACAATATTTGTTTCAGTATATTTTAACATTATTAATATATCGAAATTGCTATGTGAGTATTGTTAAACAAGAGTGAAAAATAAAGACAATTTGATTATATTAAATATGAGAATTTTTCAAATTCTTATATATTATATTTTCAACATGTTTATTTTATAAATACGCTCGTAAGTAATTGTGTTTTATATACATTTTTAATTGTTTATATTTAGAACAAAAATAAATATACTAGGATATTTTTAAATCAAAAATTAAAATTATTGTTTTATTTTGAACTTATAATTTTAAAGAATATTTATGTATGATAAAAATGATCATACATTTTACATGTTTGAACATAAAACACTGTTATAAAGTGGTTTTATTTATTAAGATTATTTTGATAGAAGTGGCCATACTTTATATACCAGAATAACTAATTAAATATAATATTTATATTTCGGTTACTTAAATTTTATATTTCGCTTTGATAAACTGAAATAGATTATGTCCATAGCCAAAAATAATTTGGATGTATATTATAAAAGCCTGTATCTACATAATCAGTATTAATAAAATTTCCACAAAAGTCATTTAAATATTTTGAAATGAGTTCATAATTGGTAACACGTGACTCATTTGACTTTGAAATAATAATATTTGCATTATTCTTAAATTTAATTAACATTTCTTCCTTAGTCAGTAATAAACCATCTAAAAAACATCTATTTTTTTCCGAATGTTTTGATGTTATTATTGTTTTGGTAAATTTATATCTTGTTTTTTCAAAATTTTTAATGTAATCATCAGCTAATTTTTCTGTGTTTACTTTAGGATTGTTTACAAACATATATCGTAATACATTCTTAGTTTTCAGATCAACTACATAATTATATATTAAATTGTAAGTTGAAAGTAAATCAGAATATGATTTAACTTCTTTAATGGGTTGCCAAATCGCGGATAATTTTATTTTTTCTATAATTGTCAACATAAAATCGAAAATTTTCGCTGTATCATTGATTGCATCAAAAAGACATGTTACACATTTCACATAGTCGAATGAGTTTACTTGATATTTTTCATTTTTACACATAATTTTTAAAGCAGATAATGATGAATTGTAATTCACAAGCACTTCAAGAAATCTACACCTTACAATTCGTGTAAAGTAATGTTTTTTAAGATGAAAATTATGATCTGTCACTAAGTCTCTTATCACACGTTCGGCACTTATTTTGAAATCATCATATTGTATTTCTATGTGGCTAAATGAACTCCAACTACCTTCACTAAATAGAGTATTAAGTATTGAAATTCCCATTTCTTGATTAATAATATCGTCTTTAGGAGGTTTTAATCTATACAAAAATTCTTTAAATAAGTTAAATAATTTTAGTATAGCATATATTGTGTCTATATATTATATTTCATTAAGGTTTTTAGCCCCCATTTTCCGTTTTATCACCTTTTACGACATAATAAGAGCTATTACGGTTGCCATTTGTTTATTAAGTAATTAACTATAAATAACGTTAAAATTAACAACGATAACAACGAAAAATAAAACCTAATATGATAAGAACACGTGAGCATCGCTGCTCACATGTACTACCGTACACATAGAACGCAGCACTACCTACCCGCGCCCTAACTTCCTTCCCCCGGTGAAGAAATTCCTTCACCATTATCTTGCACTGGTAATGGGGAAAACTTGCTCACTGGCCTTTGCAATATGGTTCCACCAGAAGTCCTAAGTGAGATGACCCGAACAACATTATCGCTTCCAGAATGCGTATCGATCACCCTTGCTAAAGACCATTTAATAGGCGGCTGATTTGTATCATGAATAATTCCAAGAGTGCCCACCTTAATTGAATCAGTTTGCTTGGTCCACTTGTAACGCATATGCAATTCAGATAAATACTCTTTGGACCAACGCCTCCAAAATTCTTGATACAACTTTTGTACTAGAAGCCTTCTTTTTAGTCTGTTGTTTGGGATTTTTGTATAAATTATCTGTGGTGGAAGATTCAAAGGTCCTCCAACTAGGAAGTGCGCTGGAGTGAGAGCTTCCAAATCACTTGCGTCGTGTGAATACTAATATAGAGGTCTAGAATTCAAGCAAGCCTCTATTTGATTTACAACAGTGTTCAGCTCCTCAAAGGATAAATGTGCTGATTTACTACACCGCACCAAGTGATGTTTTGCGGACTTCACCTCGGTCTCCCATAATCCGCCAAAATTTGGGGCACCGGGTGGGTTAAAGTGCCAAGTGATCTCCTCGTCAGTCAGGATTTGTTGGACAGTTCTTCTAGTAGAGCTCTTTACGTACAAGGCCTTTAGCTCTCTATGTGCTCCCACGAAATTAGTTCCATTGTCTGAATATATGTCTAAACATGTACCACGTCGTGCCATAAATCTTCTTAAAACTACTAAAAACACGTCAGCACTTAGACTGATGACCAATTCCAAGTGAATAGCCTTAACGGAAAAACATTTAAAGACTGCAATATAAGCCTTGGTCAAAACTACTTTACGTAATCCATTACGAACGAATATAGGCCCAACAAAATCCACTCCACACCTGGCAAATGGACGCATCTGATTAACCCATGAAGGGTTGCCGAGATGTAGGCCTCGCCCTAAAGCATGTAATACATTTATGAACAACGCGGCGTCTAGCAAAGCTTCGTTCGTATAGAGGCCAATATCTGAGACGTGTATTCGCTAATAATCCCAATGGCCCGATGTGAAGTAATTTAAGGTGAGTGTGATCGAGAATGACGTCCGTTATCTTGTGCCTTGGAGGAAGTGAATGGGGTTCCATTGAAATTCGGGTAACCTACTCTAATTAATCCCTGACTCAGAAATGGATGTAGTGACCATAATTTGCTGTTAGTTGACACGGGACGACCGCTTGATAACGCTTGATAGCTCCTCTGAAAAGGTTTTCGATTGAACTTGATGGATTAAGACTAGTTCTGCATTAATCAATTCAGGTGTTGTTAAACACCCTTTCTTTCGCAATGAAGAATTGGACTTCTCATTATTTACGAATCTAAATAGATAGGCCGTTATTCTACGCATGCGAGACCATGTACTATAAAGCTCGATAACTTCTATGGGTTCATTAACCATCAGTAATGTAAAACGAATGACCTTCTTCTCTTATATATTTTCTGGAACGCTAACGCCACATTTTTCCTCATCTTCTTCTTGTCGCAAAAAAGATGGTCCATTCCACCACATGTCATAACAAAGTAGATCTTCAACCCTTATGCCTCTAGATGCGACATCTGTGGGATTTTGTGTGGTCTTCACGTATCGCCATTGATTTGGATTCGTGATTTCATGTATTTGAAATACTCGATTAGCAATAAATGTCTTCCAAATGCACGCGTTACCCTTGATCCAAGCGAGGGCAACCATGGAGTCGGTCCAACAATTAAATGAAAAAGTACTAATAGACAACGTAACTGCAACCTTACTTATAAGTTCTAACAATATATGAGCCGCGCAAAGTTCTAAGCATGGAATGCTTATAATCTTAAGTGGAGCAACTCTTGACTTTCCACATAGCAGCCGACTTGAACAATAACCATCTGGAGTTTTATGAGTATATGTACGCCGCGTAAGCCTTTTACAAAGCATCGCAGAATCCATGAATGCTTACGCTGGACGGATGTTCACATTTAATACTTCTAGGTAATCAAATTTTTGTAGATCATCTAAGAAGGCGTACCATCGATCTATCATTTCTTGAGGTAATAAATCATCCCATGAAAGTTTTAGTAGCTATAACTCTTGTAGAAATGCCTTGCCTCTAATAAGGGCTGGACCTGCAAGACCAATAGGATCAAATACACGATTGAAGTCGGCCAGAATGGACTGCTTGGTAGTTTTCTGTTTCGAGACAACAAGTGTTATCCTAAAGCTGAAATTGTCAGACGTAGGTAACCAGACCAATCCAAGAGCTTTTACAAATTCATTATCGCTAATAGAGAGCACAAAATTAGAGGTAGTATCCGCAGACTCGATGGAACTCAGCACTTCTGCTGAATTAGAACACCACTTGTGAAGATTTAGTCCAGCTGAGCTAAGTATGCTAGAGACGTCTTTTATGAGACGAGTGGCCTCCACTACGTTGTCCGATCCACTCAGATAATCGTCGACGTAGACGTCCATCTTGATAGAATGCGCGGCCTTTTCTAAATTATGGTTTTGTTTTAATGGTTCGTCAGCAATATAGATGAGAGAACGAGTAGCACTAAATGATGCGCTTGAAGTGCCGTAGGTAACCGTCTGCAGCTCATAGTGACGAAGTTCAGAATCCCTCCACAAAATCCGCTGGTATTTTTGATCATCTGGATGAATTCTAATTTGCTTGTACAATTTTTCTGCATCAGCAGTGATGGCAATAAGGTGCATGCGAAAACGTTTAACTATGGAAAAAAGATCTTCTTGTACCCTAGTGCCAATCATGAGAATGTCATTGAGAGATTAGCCAAAAGTCGTTTTAGCAGATCCATCAAATACTACTCGAACCTTAGTTGTTAAACTGCATGACTTATCAGCTGGGTGGTGAGGAAGATAATACGACTCCTCTGACAGATTTGAATCTAATGAAACTCTTTCCATATGGCCTAGATCCACATATTCGTTTATGAAGTTCTTATAGTCCTTGGCGAGCTCAGGGTCTTACGCAAATCTTTTTTCTAGATTGAAAAATCTGCTCTTGGCCATAAACAACGAGTCACCAAACATTGAGGAAGGCTTCTTGAATGGGAGGCGAACCACCACGCGGCTTTCCCTGTTTCTGATCGTGGTTCGTTGAAAATGTGACTCACATACTTGAGCGTCTTCAGACATTGAGTTTTTTAACATGAAGTTTGTGAAGTTTGTCACAAATGGTTGTTTATTGTCAACCGAGCAGTTAAAAAATGATTGGAAGTCTAGTCCAAGCACACGTCCCGAAAATATCCAAATCAACATGGTACGCTGAGGATAGGCATCAGGGGAAACTTGGTGACGTTCACATCCCAAAACCTCAAAAAACACTTCTGCTCCTAAAAATACGTCAATGGGGCCCGGCGTGTAAAATTGTGGATCGGCAAGTTCATTTTGTACATTCTATGGTAGATTTAGATTTGCTATGTTAATTACACATGTAGGCAAATACTCAGTTATGATGGATAGAGTATAATTGACATTTGACATAATCGCTGCCGATGCAGACCATTGACATTCAGATTTAACTGCTGCAATTCCCATGACAGTCGCTGTTGATTTAAACATTTTCAACTGTAGTTTTTTTGAACAACTCTCTGTAATAAAAATTGAATTGAGAGCCAGAGTCCATTATGGCCCGACACGGAATGCGATCACCGCTACCGTTTGCTATGTGAACGATTGCTGTAGCCAAAACCACTAATCCTTGCGAAATAATGGTCAACACTGGTCTTTGACTTTGCATGGCACACAAGACTGTAGATGGCCCAGCAGTTAAAGCTGAAGCTTGTGTTGCATCATTAATTATTGAGGAATCATTGTTGTTTAATTGTTGATTGATCTTGAGGAATACCTTTTGCTTTCCACCTTTATTGTGCTGCTGATCCTTGTGATTGATAACATGTTTCTCATAGAACAATAAAGAATAGTGTCTTTTGTGGCATGTATGACAACTATAAGCAGCTGAACAGTCTCGAACACCATATTTTGTACTTAGGCAATTGTAACACATATTAAATGACTTAACCCTTTGATGACGCTCGGAGGGAGTCAAAGAAATAAATCTTGTAAAGTTTGTGGTTTTCATTGCACATTGCACGTTTGTTATTGTTGGTAGTGTTTGTTGAGTAAAAAATGATCGTTTTTCAATTATACGAGAAGTTGTTGATTTAGGGACATTTATTATGTGACCAGAGCTTCCCTCATATACTTCTAAGGACATCACCCGCGACGTTAAGAATGTTTCTAATTTGGAGAATGGCACTATGTCTGCCATGTCAAGCGATTGCTCCCATTGCTGAAGCGTATCTCTATCAAGTTTGCTTAACACTATTTCAAGAATAATTGTGTCCCATTGATTAACGCGCTGATTCAAGTTCTTTAATGCTTGTATATACTGCTGCATGTCAGATAAAAAATTATTTAAACCAACAGCAGAAGATTTAGTGATTTGAGGCAAGTCAAGAGTAGAGCAAATTTCTGCATGAATTGTGCGACGCTTATGATCATAACGTTGTACTAGAAGTTTCATTGCCAATTCAAAGGCCGTTTCAGATGAATTCAATGATACAATTAAATCAAGCGCAGGTTTGGTTAAGCAAGCCTTTAGGTATTGGAACTTCATGATATTGCTTATATCACCTTCCGCTTCTATTAATGTGTTTAGTTCTTGATTAAAGGTTTCCCAAACCGGGAAGTCACCATTAAATTTAGGCAAAGGAATGTTGGGTAATCGAGAAAGTACTCTGGAGGCGGCTACATTTAAATGAGAATTTCCACTCACAATAATAGGGACTTCAGTCTTTGGTTGAAGTTGCTGTATAAGTTTGGTATAATCTTCCATGGTAAAATAAAATTTTCTTTCAAAGGCATCCCTTTCTAGTTCATGTTTTACCATCTCAGAAGGTCTAAGCGATTCCCATTCACTTTGAATAATCTCGAATTTATTAAATAATTTAGATAATGCCTCCTTTCTCAACTTAAAAAAATATTCATTTTTAAGGGAAATTTTCCGTGTTTTTCTTTATGTTTAATAAGCATTGCTTATTTCACACAAACTGTTTATTTTATTATTAGATTTTCCATGTAAAACATAATTAAAATACAATAATTTTGTATTGTAATAACACTATAAAATAAATATACAGATCGAAATCTGGTAAGACACTCATTTTCTCAGAAACTATTGAGAATTTTAAATTTTATTATGAGAATAAATATTAAGTTCAAAAAAATCTACAATAAAATGTAGTCAAACCATTATTTTTTTCTTACCTTCTAAGATAAAAACCCTTATTTATAATTTTCTTAAATGGGAACCCTTATTTTAAACTTTATAATATAATAAGAAAAAAAATTACAAGCAAATTTGTTCGTATAATTTTTTTCCCCGATTAACCGTTCGTCCGTTACAGCTTGATAAAGTTAAGTGATTTTAGGCCAAATTTCTATTGTTATTTTACTGTATTAAATACAGAAGTCATTATTTTTATTTGCTATTGCATAAACCAAATTTTATTGATCAAGTTATGATAGGTAAATTAGCTATAAAAATTTACTACGCACTAAATGAGTGATAACAATAATAGATTCAAAACAGGTTTTCGGTTTATTATTAATAGCAAAGTCTATGGGTTTGTAAGACTGAAGAATCTAACAAAAATACCGGTTGCACTGCTACCGATATTATGAAACGCAATAAATGACAATATTTTTTCTCAGAGTCAAAATCTTTAAACAATTATAAAACGTAAACGGTTGTTCGGATAAAAAAAATTATAATAACAAAATTTGATACAGGTTTTACAGAATTTATTTCATATATTATTTTATTTTATTTATATTATGACTATATATTATTTAGTTTAACATATCTCAATAAAACTATATTTTAGCTGATAGTCTAGGATATTCCAGTTCAGAGAAATTAAAATATTGTAACACAGTTATTTTAGAAAGCTTTCGGCCTTAAATTAACAATTAAAAAGATTCATGATATTTTTTGTCTGTCGAGTATCTCTGCTGCTTTGGACATGTGTAAAGTTAGTTTAAAATAACCACTGTGTTATAATTATCAATATTACGAACACTTGACTAAAAAAATAATCATCTAACATCAGAAAGAATAAAGTTTAATTACCACTAATTTGGAACATAACATCTCTAGGGCTTTGCATGCAGATTCTTTTTATTTGGATCCCTTAAAAACTCTCTCATCAATATTAAGGATAACTGTGTCTTTTTCGATATATAGTTAATGTATAGTTTAATTAATATAGTAAAAATAAAAATTTCTTTTAGCTACTTGAAAAAATTTTTTTTTTGAATTTACACACAATGCTATAAGTGTAGCATAGATTAGAATGCTTAGATGGACGAGTGGAGTGACTGGAGAAGATAGGATAAGGAACGAGGATATAAAAGAGAGTATAGGTGTAGCGCCAATCGTGGATAAGATAAGAGAAAATAGACTTAGATTGATTGGTCATGTTATGAGGAGAGAAGAACAGTAATAAAAATGAATGTCGAGGGAAGAAGAGGTAAAGGAAAACCAAAAAAGAGACGGAGTGATGTTATTGAATGTAATATGAGGACAGCTGAAGTGAGCGTAGAGGATGTGGGAGATCGTGTCAAGTGGAAAATTAGGATAAGGGTGGCCGACCCCAAATAGTTGAGATTAAGGTGAGGAAGATATACGAGGTGTACTCAGAAAATAACGGGAATTTTTAAATTTCACGGGTTTGAAGAGTCTGATTATTCAAAAAATGTTTTCATAATAATGTGTCCCTGAAATATGATAAAATGTTCAACTGAACTAGTATATACATTTTCAGTGGCAGCCGCTAAGATTAGACGTATTTTCATGAGTTCAGCGATTTTCGTTTGTTAAAAAAATGAAACAATGGATTTGTATCGAATTTTATGTAAAAAATGAAATAAAGTGTAGTAAAGTCACAAGTAAAACAAGATTTTATGAGTGGTATAAGCTTTTTCAAGATGCCCGTGAATGCACATCAATATCCGATGAAAACACGGAAAAAGTGAAAGTAATGTTTATGAACGATCAAAATTTGAATTTTTAACAAAAATGGCGGTGAATGGAAGTTGCTTAGAAGTCATTTAATGAAGTTAATGACGATGCAGAATTACTGAAATGTTTTATAACAGGTAACGAAACATGGGTTTATGGATACGACGTCGAAACTAATGTTCAATCGTTCAAGTGGAGATATTCTGGTTCACCAAGATCGAAAAAGAATCGCGATTGGTCGAAAAGGTTATACTCACTCTATGTTCTTTGATTTTAATAGCGCAGTGCATCAATAATTCTTGCCACGAGGTCAAACGGTTAATAAGAAGTACTACCTACAAGTTCAACGTTGTTTGCGTAAAGCAATCCAAAAAAAAAACGCCCGGAGTTGTGGCAAATCAATTCATGACTTTTGCACCATGATAATGCACCAGCTAACATTTCTTTACTTTTTTGTAAATTTTCGGCTAAAAAAATACTGTTACAACGCCCTGACTTCCATATTTGCCAGACATGGCTCTGTATGACTTTTTTCTGTTTCAAAATTATAATATGAACCAAAGGGCCGTTGTTCTACAAACATAGAAAAAACATTAAAAGTGCATCACTGAATGAGCTAAAGACTATCCCAAAGATTGAGTTTGAGAAGTGGTTCAAAGGTTTGGAAGAAGCGTTGACACATGTGCATAATATCTAATGGCGATTTTGTCGAAGGAGACATGTATTAAGGATTAATGTAGACAAATAAATAAATATTTTTTTCAAAAAAAGAAAATTCTCGTTATTTTCTGAACTTACCACGTATTACATATTTCATATTATAATACCAATAAAAAATTATCATAATTATGGAAATCAAAAAATAAATTTTACTTACTTAGGAATTGTTGGATTTATCAATTGAATAAATCCAAGATCCTCGTAATTATTCTTAATGGTTTCAGTGTAAAACGAATTGATCTTACGATACATAAAAGAAACAAAACATGGGAAATCTTTATTGTGTGACGAGTATTCCATTTCATAAATAGCCTTGAAATTAATTTTCTCAACATTATCTACTATAGATTTATTCTTCTCGAAAAAGTTATTTGCAATATTATATACATCATCAATGAACTCTTTTACATCAAGAAATTCTTGAATATTACCATAAAGACACTCGTTCCGTTTTATTTTTAAATATTTATGGTTTTTTATCTTATAAATGTCGTCAACTGCATTGAACGTGTTAGCTTCAAACTTGATAAAGACTAGTTTATAGTTTCTTAAATTTAAGTCTATATAGCTTAAAAAATTGATAGCATTATATAAACTTTCAAACATTTTCAATGAATTTTTTACTGCTTTTTCGAGTAAAAATGAACAATTAAAAAAATTTTCCATTAAATTAGCCTCAAAAAAATTTAAACATTTATTAACAACAATATTTAACAATTCCACGAATTTTAAAATTATTTCATTATAACTATAATTATAAATATTAAGAATATTATAGAAAATATTTAGCCTATCATTTCTGTTGGATTTTTGCATTAATAATATTGGTACACTTAATGTTCCAATCGAATCATAATTTAATTTAAAATTTGTTATAGACTGCCATTTATTATGAGTACACATATAATCTACTACTCCAATAAAATAATTAAAGTATACATTTTTTTTAATTTTACAATTTACAGAGATGATATTGAATTGAATTATAAATGTAATTAAAACAAGTTGTCTAATATTCATGTTAATTAATTGAAAAAAAAGTCACAGTGTAATAAAATAAAGTAGAATATTGAATTATTTTCGTTATTTATTGTTTTATTCATATCTAAAAATACCGTGTTCGTGTTAAAATTAAAGTAGTTATTAGAATTTTTATTTAATAGACGTATGCTAACAAATTATTAATTTATTAAACTTCAAAATACATGAACTTATTATTTAACATTTGTAAAAACAAAATTTTTAAGATTTAATTTTCATAAACTATTTTTTTTAGTGTATTTCAAAACATTTAATCACTACTATAAACTTCATAGCATAAATTCTATTAACATAAGTAAAACTATTAATTACTTCCACAAGTTATTATCAACCAGTAATTCTCTTAATTAGAGTATTATCTGTTAAATAATCTAGATAATTATGTATGTTTCCACTTGATAAAATCACATTAATACCCTTACGAGGTATGTGGAATGATCATGAAAAAATAGAACAATTGATAAATAAAAAAATCATGAAACTAATAGACAAAAATGATTATATTATAGTCAGATGAAAACAATTTAATAAATAAAGTTTATTTTAAAATACCTTATAATTGAGAAAAAATATTTATTTTTTATTAATATAATACTTTGTGATAACTTAATAATTTATTACTGATTTAAAATTAATATTTGATAATTTAATTCACTTGTTGCGAATTTAAAAATGCATTATGTTTTTTAATTAAATGGTTCACCAAAATTATGTAAATAATTTAATTACTTAAATTATTACAAAAAAATGCATAAATGTATCCATTTTAAAGTAATTAATGCATTTTAAACATCAATACATTAATTTTTGACAATAAAGTGCTTCATATATACATACAGGTAAATAACCTGCAGACAGTCTGCGGATGTAATTAAGGCTGCCTGACCAGCCCCCCAAACCCTCCGGACTCTTTTAAGATAGTAAAATAAAAATATTGTTAATAATTTTGTTATTTATTTCAATTAGTTCAATGTTTTTATCAATTTTTCAATCATAAAGTTATTTATTTTCATACCATATAAGGCTGTCAAATTTTATTTCTCAAATGACAATAATCTTAATTAGTAAGCTTATTTTTATAGATAATTCTATCTAATTAAAACAAATTGATTGGTTGATAATAACTTTAGGACAAGTATTTTGGAAATTATTAAGAATTTAATGTAATGACTTAAGTTGAAAAGTGGGTGCTGCTATTTTTATAACTAAACATTTTCCGTCCGTAATACTCCTCTCACCTAGATATAAATATAGTAATAACTTCCGTAATACTGGTCCAAAAGAAGTTATTGATCAGTCATTTTATTAATTAAATCATTGAAAATCTAGAAAGTCTACAATCTGACCCGCTTGGTAGCGTTTTAAATTATACAATCATACAATTAAAAACAAATTGTCAGATTACTATTAAAGTTTTTAACGACTCCATTTAAAGAGTTTTCAAAAATTAAGGAAACTGGTCAATTGTCAACAAACAATAAAAATACAAAAAACATTTTCCATACATTATGAACACTCTATATATGTGGATGTAAAATTTAACATAAAATGAACTCAATTTAAAATTAAATTATATTGTAAAACACACAAAATTTTTAAAATAAATTTTTATTTGCTCCAATCAGCTCATTTTGAATTTGTTTTCTTTGCCAAGAGTGAAATTATTGAATATGACATACGCATCGCCTAAAATCAATTATTTTAATTAATTATGATAACATAACATAATTTTAGTGTTTTATTTAAAAAAAAACATACTGAGCCAAATACTTCTAAATTCAATGATTTTTGTGGAGTAATATTCATTCTTAATCTGTTCGCGTTATTTAAATTTATAGTCAACAATAGCATTTTTTTAAATGCTATACTTTTTCCAGTCCAATCAATACTATACAAAACAAACTGTACTCTATTTATCTAAAAAAAATGTCATAAAAAAATATTTAATACATTATGTAGGTGGGTACAATTTGTACTGGTATATATTAAATATACAAATTTTATTAACACATACTCTATCCGCACTACATATTAATTTTATGTTGTATAATATTTTAAGATTACAGCTTTTTATAATTGATAAGTTGAAAACAACCATTTTGACAGAATAGTTGAGACGATTATTTCCTTAATTGCAAAAAAATAAATTAAATAAAAGGTGTTACATACAGTCATCATTTATAACGATAGGGATACCAGTAAAAATTCAGATAAAATATATAAAGTATTCAGTAAATCAGGAAACGGGTTTTTATTATTATCATTGTTTGTTTCAATCCAACTCTATATAACATCCAGCGTTATACAATGTATGCAATTTTAATTATACAAATTAATATAATATTATAAACACATATATAAAGTTGTGTTAGTTCGTATTGGGTTTCGTCCCCCTGTCATTGCATAATATTAGTTTATGTTTAGTTTCATTACACCTCTCTACTTAGGTGAGCTAGGTAAAGGTGGGTGAGGGGAGTGGATCTCTTTCCCGCCATAGATTAGTGTACGTTGGATTTACCCTCCCCCCGACATTGGTAATGTAAGTGGAGGAAGAGAGCAGCGCAGGGGATCTAAAACTGTTTAAATAATACTACTTCTTTGATATTCTGTCTCTTCTACACTTGGTGGCCATTTCTTGTTTTATTGTACTTTTATTGATATCCCATTAAATACGCCTTACCAGTTGTCTTCATATATTCTTGCTGATTTCAATAGTATAATGATGATAAACAAATGTTATCAGGCTCATTAAACTATAATATAATTTAATCAATGAAATTACAGGTTTTATTACGATTTCAGTATTAGTACTTCATCAGCATTAAAAAGTATTTTTTTGTCCAACTTTGTACCCTTTCATATCCTCTAAAAGAAAATTATTGGTAGAAAAGAGTTTGACGATGACGATATTTTAATGTGCGTTTTTAATGATTCTGAAATATCTATTATTTTTATTATCATCATACCATGTATTCATTCTTTCTGGTTTATCGAATAGTTTTAATTTTCTGCAGTTTATATTTTCTTTGTATTTTACATAGTTAATCACCCCAATAGTCCGGAGATCGTCTATGTTTACAACGTGGGTTAGTGTATACCCTAATGGTTGATTTCAACTGTTCGTATGCATCAGTATGTTTTTGTTGCCAATTAATATTCTCGTATTTTTTTAATTTTGTTAATTTTGTAAGGTAACTGGCGATCTATGGAACGATTTTATGTACCTACGGTATAAAGAGCTAAGCCTCAAAAATAACATCTTTAATCGTTTTGGAGTGCGGAAAGTCCGCTATGGCTTAACGGTTTTATGCCATTGCGTGTTATACGAAAGCCTAATAGGTCTTTTTTTAGAATTATGTGTATTTAGCTGTTTTTATTTTGAGTATAATTTTAAATACTTTTTCGAGATTTTCCAAAGCTTCCGAAATATGCTTAATCATCATTATAAATCATAAATGATTATTTTAAGAATTCTAAAAAAGGATTATTAAATTTTTTTCTAAATACTGCTGAAATGTTGCGAAAACAAATAGGAAATCATCGAATCGTCATTAAGTCACATGCACTTGTAAATAAAAGTAAATGTTGACATTGCTTTATTATAGTGATTTGAAAAAAGTTATTATTAAGATCTAACCTTGAGAAGAATTTTTAGTTTTCTAACGCTCTAAATAAATGTTGAAGCTGTAGAAGCTGTAGAAGCGGAAAGTTGTATTTTTAATGAATTCCACGTTTATTATATTTAGATTTGCCCTTGTATCTATACTATTATTTATCTTTTGTTTAATGTGGCTATGATGTACAATGCTTTTGCATTGTACATCATAAATAAATAAATATTGACTTTTAGATTGTGTTGACACGGCCACAACGTTGTCACCCGTTAACACCCCACGGTCGTGTCAGCTCCTTCTCAGCCACCGCTCCACTGTAAACCGGACCGTTACACACGCGTTATGGTCGTGGTGTTAAGTCCAATAAATGCCTAACGTCGAGTACCCGCCGCAATAATACGTAAAGTAAGTCATCTTCGTGACATCGCCCGAGACGCCGAACTCATCGCACCGTTTTTTTCAAACATCAATGCATCTTTTGCTTATTTGCTTTCTTTTTAACACGCTTATATTAGTTTCACCTGTATGTATGTATGTATGTATGTTTGTAACTCTCCAAACGCCACGCGTTATCGCGTATCCCGTCGTCTATGGCCTTGAGACTAGACTGTCCTAACGCATTCACCTCTCTCCACACGACGGCACACTATTCCTATAAAAATTTATTTTTAGTTATCGTACCCGTACACGCGTGCTTGTCATCAATATTATATATATATAAACAAATTTTTATTTTGACTGACCAATAACGCCCGCGTCTAATGCGCCTTACGTATATATATTTATATATTCCTACCGCCGTTTATACCTCAGGTATAACGACTCGCCCGCCCACAAAACACAGCTATACCTAGTGCATGATACTTTTACGTAGTTAAGTCGCATTATTTGTATATATATATATTCTAATTACTATTAAAAATATATATTAACACACTTTATTCTAATTAAGAGATATAAAGTATTTATTCCGTTTTCGAGGGATGATTTTCCGTATTGTCATTTTTCGTCACTACCTCCATGTTCCGGGAGTGGGTAATTTGCGCGCCTGCTGCTTTCCTTGGATGTGGTAGCCGTTTCTCAGACTCCCTCCCCGGAATCGAACCCTGATTTCCCGTTACCCGTAACAACCATGATATTGATAGTAACTACTTTCATAACATGAAACTAAATAGTAAAAAATAAATATAGTTTAAATTCTATTAGTCTCTAATTATTGTGCACGTTATTTGTAATTACTGTATTATATTGTTTCTTGCTCAAATAAACGGCTCAGCGCTGATTTTCTGTTATATAATTAAATTTTGTCGACTACCATTTTATTTATCACTAGTTCTCCCACAGTGTGTAATCATTTTTTTTGCTTTTATCGACTTCATTCTTGAAATTTTCAATGATGAGATTTTATAATCTTTGATTTTGCTAAGGTTGAAGGTGAATGTCTGTCCTCAGCGTAAACTTTTAACCTATAAATTAGTTTTTTGTGTTGCAATTTTTTGCTGTGGGGTTATTGCTTTGACACAGCTGACATCTTGTCTCGTTTGCATCATTTTTTATAAATATGCAGACGTTTGTTCGTCACTGTATTTCTCACAATTTGGCATTGAATTATTAATCTTTTGTTACAGAAACAATTGGCGAATGTTACAATTTCTTTTTTTGCTGGACATGTTACCATTAAATTTGTTTACTATTTTATTCTGTGATTTGTAAAAATCAAAAAGTTTATCTTTTTAATTATTCTAGTGCACTTTCTTGATTTTTGTTCGACATTTGCGTTATTTGCTCCTTGAGAATGTCTGTTTTAACTTCCTAAGTATATTTATTTTAATCGCCTTTTATAAGAAATTCTGTAGTTTCCCATTTTCTTATATTTTGTAAACTGTCCAAGGTATTCTTAAAATTTCGGGACGTAATCCCTTTTTGATAAGATATACATTTTTATATTTGTGACATATATATTTGCAAGCATAAAGTTTCAGATTTATTTAAATAAGAGCTTGCGAGGGTTTGTTAGGTTGTTGATGGCAATTTTGTAAAATCATTCTTAACATGTCCGTTTGAACTGTTGGTTCAAATTAAACTTTATTTTATACACCAAATCTGTCCCCTTAATTTATCTGACGATGTTGTCTTTGAGATTTTCAAAGAAATATAAAGCTGTACCTTCCAAAATGGCTGGTAAGAATTGAACTTTTTTTCTTATGTTTATTCATTTTTGATGCTGGTTCTCTTGTAATGCTTAAGAAGGAGATTTATGTTTTTGTGTATCCAACCTATAATCTGGCTTAAAGAATGGTTTCCTTAGTATCTTGTTGTCATCACTAGCCATGTTTTTGATGATAAAAATATTAATAAACCAATATATGAAAACGTTTATTTCAACAATGACTGACTTGTTTTAAATTCAACCCAACGTCTTGTTTAAAGTACATACTGCTTTTTAATAATTACTGTTATAACCTATTTTCATGTAAATTTTTTTTTTAAAGAAAACCATTTAGAATCTCTGTTTGAGCATAAATTTGGTTAACATATAAAGAAAATTATTTTATTAGAGACAGAATTACTTTTTTGGTAGTTAGTTTAGTAACGGGTGTAAATGTATTTTTAACTTTTTTTAGATCGGAACACACTTACTACTGATCTGAGAAAAGAATTTCTTGTTGCTTCACCATACAAACAAGTTTCATGGTATTTTAAATTGTTTTTCATTTTACAAACTTTTTCACCTGATATTTTCAATGCAAGAACAGATTTTCTTGTATACTATTTTAATCATTGTCTTTCTAATATATCCTAAGCGGGCATGTCATAAGTTATGACTATTTTTTCTGATAATTATCAATAATATATAGTATTGAAAGTAGCTTTTGTATTAATATCAACACATTTTTAATATTGCTATTATCTTTTGTACTACTTTAGCTACAATTATTTTAATAGGCTTAATTAATGTTTTTGTATTATTGAAAAACCAGTATTATTGACCATATTTTCTGAAGCACTTTAACCTAAAAACCAGTTTGCTTTATTAAATTTTGGTTTAGTTTTCATTTTGCTATCACATATAAAAGCTATTACACTTGTCGCTGTTAATTTTGATTATTGAGTTTTCTTCATTTCTGTTGAAGACTTTTAATACTATTTTTTGACTTTAATGGCTTGTTTATGTCCGAAATGATAACAGTTTTAACACTCAAACTTAAAACGTGTTTTATTTTGCTTATTAAAGAAAGCTTTTTATAGTTTTGGAATCAATTGCACTTGATTAAATATAAATTACAATTATACTACTAATGACTTATATTTAACAAAATTTAATGTTCATATATTATCTGTTCCACATTTAATTTATAACATTCTAAGATATTTTTAAAAATTTATTTCTCTTATTAGGGTTTAACTTTAATAACTACTATTTTACATTACATGTAATAAGTATTATAATAAGCCTTATAATAAGTAACTTATTTTTGATACCCTGTCTCTCAAAAATTTCTATTCAAGTAATAACATATCTAAAGCTATAATTTTTCCTTCGAAATACTCTAAGTGACTGTCAGCAATTAACTGTTCACTATTGCTGATGTAATAACATTACATTTCATGATAATCAGATTTTATAACAGCACAAATACTAAATTAATTAAAAAAATACACTCAATTAAGTTAATTAATATTCGCTGTTATAAATTTTTATACGTACTTAATAATTTTGTTTTTATAAATATCTTAAGACTTCAAAAATTAAATATTAATATCAATTTTAAATCAAAACGTAACAAAAAATTACTGACTACTGTAAAAATGTATATTTTAATATAACTTTTGGTGTATTGTATTTTAAATTGCAATTCATAATTAAAATTATGACTCCAAATATGCAGTCATATTTCTATCATAATAAATTTGTTTTATACAAAATAATAATTATCTTACTTCATTTTCTAGATGATTATAAAAATAACATATTATAAACAAATTGAAAGAACTCATTAATGTTGTTAATAAATATTTCATTGAAGTAAATGATAAAACATAATCATTTTTTTTAAATGCCTGTAAATAAATTAATCAACAGTTAATAAAAATCAGAAAACTCACTTAATTGAAATATACATACCAAAATACTCAAAAATGTATATAAAATAAAAACATCGAAATAGTATCCAAAGCTATAAATTGTCAACGGTTTCATGATATCATAAAAATTTTTTATTGATCTGCTTAATATAATAACAATTTAGAATACAATACTGAATAAGTAATTAAATTATCTACCATGTTATGAATAATATCACTTTAAAATGTTTCACGTGCATGTTAGTAAATCATTATTTGATTTCATATTGAATTAAACATTGCACAAAAACATCGAAAATGTTCATAACAAAATTATAAAAATAAATATATTATTAAACAATATATAAATGTATTCAATGAACATAAGAAAAATTAGAATAATTCATGTAATAATGTTTTCTAACTTACATGTTTAACCTTGTATGGTCTAAAAGTAATTTTTTCAAATTTATCATGGAAATGCAATCGTTTTTTTGACCTATTTGAATAATAAATAATAAATTTAAAGCCAGGGCTAGGAACCGAAATAATTTCGGTTTTTGGCAATTTAATAATATCTAGTAAATTTTTCATCTATACTAGTAGTATATTTTTGAACATTACGCTTTCCTTACACTTTTTTCAAACTTCAGAGGTTGACCCCACCCATACGCATGTGGACTTCAACGCAACATCATTCAATACTTTATTGGCTGCCGTCATTTGATACCACTACAGCCGTTTATGGACGTAAACTAAATGCTAGTTTTGCAAAATTTACTTAAAATCACTTGTAATTCGGAAATGGTTGGTCCAATAGCTGTGAACATTTTTTTCGACTACATCAGTATGCGTGCCATTGTTTCTCCATACGTTCTTTGATATGTCATACGTGTCAATTGTCTCACACTCTTTTTTCACAGGGAGTCTCGTAGTATACTCATACACACATACACCCTAAGTAATCTTACAGTTAAATAATATATAATTATAATGTATCATTTATGGGTACGGCGTTATGGTGGGGGTACACTTTCAACAGGAAAAGACAAATGAAGCTAAAATTTACTAATTATAGCCGACTCTTGGCTAGTTTACCCATCCTAAATAAATAAACCAATGTTTTTTTTAGATTTAACAACAGATGATTGTCAAAATATATTTAATAAAACGGACAATATTTTGGTAGAAATTTCATAATTCTCTAAACTTACACTTATATATAAACTTACTTATATATAAACGCTCACAATTTTGGTGTTGATGATTTACGTTATTTACTTATTTTTTATGGATTAAAAAAAGTAATAATAATAAAATATACAAAAAAATATCAGATAAAAAATATTTCATTATAATATATTAAATAAATTAAAATAAATAATTATTTAAAATAATATATACTATATTAGTTTTTACATTAAGCAAAACTCTTTATAATAACAAAGAATATTTAAAGTCATTCAAAATACTTATAATGATAATAGTAATACTAATAAGACTTTATATAAAAAATTGTCATAGTATTCATCAAACTATTTAACATCTACAATAATGACATTTTTAAATGTTTAATCAAAAAATAATTTTTAATACAATCCGTTAACACATTTTTCGGAATCACAAATAGTATACATAAAATTATATGTGCGGTCAGACATAATAAAAAAATTAATTGTATATAATTATTTTCTTTAAAAATATGTATAAGTCGTCAAGTCCTTATTTGTTATAGATAATTTTGAAAACTGTTTTTTACTATAATTAATTTCTCTTTATTTGTAATACCATTTTTTTTATTTATTTAAAATGGATTACCCATTCGAGAGTCAGTGATAATGCAGTTTAATTTCGTTTGTCTTTGATTGTTGGAACTTCCCCAACTAAAACTCCATAACCTTACATGATACAAAATAGTTATACGTTATTTAATTATGAAATTGCTTAGGGTCTATGCACGTATGNTGTTGGAACTTCCCCAACTAAAACTCCATAACCTTACATGATACAAAATAGTTATACGTTATTTAATTATGAAATTGCTTAGGAAGGGGAAGGTTAAAAATGACGACCATCAAAAGAGTTTCGACTTATGTTGTGTTAAAGTTGACATTCGCATGTGTGAGGAATATCATAGTAAGGGTCTAAGAGGGGAAAACAGAAAGCGCAAAATACCCTATTTATATAAATTTTTTTTTGTACATGTTGAAAAAATGAATTCAGAAATCAAAAATATTATGCTACCACCTTTAAAACCTTTTCCTTCATATAATAGAACTTTTAAAATGGTTAAAAAAAGATATTAACAAAAAAAATTGTATAAGTTTGGTTGGGTTTATTAAATAACCTGTATATTAGAAAAATTGCTAAAAACAGACTTTTTTCGGTTCATTGTACTGTTTAAAGCATTAGTTAATTGCGTAATCAAAAAATATTGATGAAATAAAAAAAAATCATTATTTACACACACCTAAGTCTAAATTGTTGTAACCAAATGTTTCGCATTTTAAAGCAATAATTTTCAACTGAGTTGATAACATCCAACAAAATTCTATAATTATTAAATTGCAGAAAAGTACATTAAAAATAATATGTAATACATTAATAGCTTCAAATGTAAATACAATTGGATAAATTTGCTCATAAATAGAAATTGGTATAAAACTGAAAAATGAATTTAAGATGTTGTTCCGATAAATTATCAGACTGCCATCTCTTTTTTTAAATGGATATTCCTTTACAAATAATGGAATAAGGATCCAAAGTGGTATCAACAAAAAACATAAAAAAATGTATATGTTTATTATTTTAGTACACATTGACTTGTTATGTTCAAATATATTTTTTTCTTTATAACTAGAAGATAGAAAATCAATTCTCGTTGCATCGAATAATTTTCTTAATTCTTCATATTTTGTCGAAAGTCTATAGGTAGTTAGAAACATTTTTAAATCCATCGTTATAAATATAAATAATTGTAATACTGAGAAAATGTCGTTTAATACATAGTAAAAACCAATAAACGCATACAAATTCATTACAATAAATTCCCACAATAGTAATAGAGTATAGCAAAACTGATGAAACTTGAAATTCTGTATTGCAGCCAGATTGAAAGGATTAAATTTACAATATAGACTTAGAATCCATAATATTTTATCGTTTAAAATTTTCTCTATTATATTGTGTTGCATATTACTTTTCAGTATTGTTGTTCTATCCTTAAATAGCCAATCGTATCTAAAAAACATGTAGGATAACTTCACTATCTAATAATGGGTTGTATTAATATTTATATTTTGATGTTACAGTCATTAAGCACTTTAATATTTATTATCTAGAAAATTCCCTATTGTAATAATGTAATAATATTTGAAATTAACTTACACAACAAATATAATTTATAAGTTTAAATCCATAATTGGAATATTTTATTGAATGAATAGCTAATGATATTATATAATAAATTGTGACAATGAGGTAGGACTAAATTTAGATATCTTTTTGTTATAATAAATTACTAATATCAGCTTGGTTAATAAAAACTTTATGGTGTTCGTTCACTGATATTGCCATCCTATACACTACCATTCATGTGAAATTGGCAACCCATGTACATTTTACTCATATTTAAAGTTATCTAACAAAGTCAAAAATGCATGAATTTATATCTTCTTAGTTTTACTATATATTACTAAAACTTATAAATAATTAAAAAAAAAAAAAATAGCACAGTGGGATCGAGGCACAGTGTGGACGAGACATAGGTGTAGCAAATATCGATGATATGTGACAGTGATTAAAATCACTATCATAAAAAATCCTTCGATGCAAATCTGTAGATAGTGTTTAATTCTAATAAAGTGATAGATAATTACAAATAACATCAACTTCTTTTTCTTTAATTATACCCTGATTAGTGATCCTTTGATTTAAAAATATAATATATGAATAAATTTTAATAATAGTAATTAAATTTAGTATGAAAATGATATTCAATTATTTAAAATTGTAATTTATACAGAGAAATTATAAAAATAATAAAGTAGTTGTATATTTCTTTTACTTTTTACAGGTATAAAAATTAAAAGGGATTGATGCAATACTTTTCAATGAAAAATATTTGTTACTTATGAATAAATACACTGAACTACAAGGAACTTTCATCAGATGCAAAGATGTACTTTTCTAAATCAACTTTTAGCACTGTAATTAAATCTACAATTAGAATTTTTCTATCACTTCTAATTTTTGATATTATTACTAATTACATATAAAATAATAATTAAAACAAAAAAAAATTGTTTTCAAATTATTACTGATTTTGATTTCTAATATGTTAAAAATAATCAGTTCAAAATTTCACTTTTAACCAATTTTTTTTGATCCTTTAAAGTTGATAAAAAATTTTTGATAAAGTTTCGTGAAAATTTTTATTAAAAAAAATTGAATTTGTTGCCATAACTTTTATCTCAAATGGCAAGTTCGAAATTCATATCATTATATAGAAAATTTTATGAGAATAAAAAAAATTGTATTTTTAAGATTAATATGCAGTCAGGAAATTTTTTAATTACTATTTACAGTATATTTATTAGAAAAGCTCAATATTTGTTTGCATTTTTATCGTAATAGAACACTTAAATAGAAATCATAGTAATAATTTCTATGTAACTTTTGGTGTTTATAAAGATTCTATAATTGAACACAAAAAAAAAAACAATCAAAATGTTGTTAAAAAAATTTACACAATTGAGCGTTTCATAAAATTTGAGTATAATTGTAAAAATCCATTGTTAAATTAAGGTGAAAATAAAAATAATTTTTTTTGGAAATGATTTATATTGGAAAATGTTAAAAAAAAATGCTAAATATTAATGACAGGTAGTACAAGCACATATAGAGTTAGAAAATATTAAACTCCTAAAACTTCAACAAAAAAAATTTAAATAAGTTTAACTTATTGAAACTAATTTATATGCTATGTTAATTAGATTTATATAATATTTATTATCCACTTTTAAGTTATTTTAAAATAAAATAAAATACAAGACCCAGAATTTTAATACAAAAATAGCATATTTTTGAATACGGTAGTTATTTTCATTATAAAGACAATCCATTGTCTTTATTTTAATTTTATTTTAATCCATTGTCAATTATTTTTTAAAATTAAAGTATATTTCATAATCTTTAATTTAAGATATATATAGAAGTGTCAGTGTTTCTGGAACATTTTCAAAAGTTAATTTGAACAACTTAATTTTTTATGAAAAAGTTGCCATGTTGAATCCCTTTTTATGGGGAAGTAAAGGATCACATATTCACAAAAATATATCAAACGATAACAAAATATCTAAGGTACTTATATAAAAAAAAATTATATTGATTTGTTCATTTTTAAAAAAGTAATAGCGTTTTAAGAAAAAAATTTAAAAAATGTCGAAAATTATTGATTTTTGAAATTGTAATTATTTTTGGAATTTCCCCCATTTACAGAGAAAGATGAAATTTTTATCAAATTTTAAGTGTCATTTTTTTGACTAGATACAATTTGTGATCTTTTGACGTATTTTTCATAAAAATCGGTTCAGTGAGAACTGAGTGGTAACAGACACACACAAAAAAAAAACGCATCTTAGTAAAATTAAAAAAATTAACATTTTCATCTTCGCATCGAAGCTAAATTAATAAATTGCCCCCTCTTGGTTTTGAAAACCGTCAAATAACGAAAGACACAAAAATCTATTAATAATTTTTTTCAAATTGATCAAAAACAATCATGAGACTTCGGAATTAAACTAAATAAAATCATCATTATATAGTATATATTAAAAGTTTGAAAACTTTTAGGTATCTATAGTACCTCAAAAGATCACAAATCGTATATCATTAAATAATTTTATCTTAAAATTTAAACAAATTTCCTTATTACCTGTAAACGAGGGACATTCTCAAAATTATTTTATAAATGCATAAAATCTTAATTAAAATAGGATGTTTTTGACATATTTATTATTAAAATCGGTCAAGTGAGGGCTAAGAATTTTTATGGTAAATATAAAAAAACACACATTATCACAAATCTAATAACTTCTCATCTTAATGCCACTTATAAATTAAATAATAATTGAAATAACAATAATATGGGCACAAAACACTTATGTGTATTCACAATCACACCTTATAATAATCTTTTAATTATTATTTAAAGTAACAAACAATCTTTCAATACTGTGTTACTAGTGAAATTACATAAACTAACATAAAATTTAAACAAAATTGAGAAGGACAAAACAAATTTATATCTTACTAAAAACTATGCGCGTGAAAAAAAACTTTGGAAAGCCGGACATCGTTAAATAATTTACTCAGCATTGGGTAATTTTTCAATTATATAATAAGATGAATTACAGGCCGTAAATTTTAAATGCTGATAATGGGTAGAATTTTGGTCCATTTTCCAATTGTTTTACCTTTCTCATAGCATGTGACTACAGTAGAATATGAGCGAAGAAATAAATTGTTTTTATAAAGAAATGTGGCACAAGAAATTTAGTCAGCGTGTTCTGGTATAAGGAGAAAAAAAGAAAAAGCTCGTAAATCAATCAAATATCAACAGATTTCAACAAAATTTTCAGGGTATTTTTGTAATGTCTGTAGGAAAGCCTGGTTGAACATTCAAATTTTAAATAAAAAATTGCTCGTGAAAATGAACGTTTTTGATAAAATTTTTAATTGCTCACGTTACGCTAAAAATTATTTTCTAATTTTCTTAGAATAATGTTGTCGAGCACTTTCTTAAAAAAAAAAGAAATTGAAAATTGAATATCATTTATAATTTTTCTAGCATTGGCTATGTTTTTAATATTTTATTATATAATAAGATGAGGATTATTTCATGACGACACTCATAAGAAATCTGAAAAAAATTATTTAAAATAGGATTTACTTACAAGTAATCACTACTTAACTACTGGCTGTAGACTAAAAATATTATTAAAGAAACTATATACAATTTACTCTATATTATTATTACTGTAAATACGTGTCGTGACTAATTAAAATAAAAAAAAGATATTACCTTTATTTCCTATTATCTCTAAATAATTGTCACTTAACTATCCAACAAACAAAAGAGAATATCATAGTATTTTCTTTAACATTTTATAATAGACTTTAATATTTATTATAGTATTATTAGATTTTGTGACTAATATTCCTTTTCATTTTATATAATCAATTGCATCATTAACAATTCATCAATATATAGAATGGTAAATTAAATGTTAAATATTAATTTTTTTTAATTATTAATTAAGCTAAACTTTCCACAGTAATTATTTTTTTGTTAAACACATAATTATGAAATTAATAATAAAAAATAGGTAATTTTGTGAATATTTAAAAAATGAAATTTACTTGGAAACCGACCGGAAAATGCTATGCGTATTGAATTTTAACCAACTGAACAAAATCACATGCTTAGAATTATGCTCTTTAAGCGTAAACAACTCCCAGAGGTGTCCATTGCTTCTTTTATTAATGATACCGAAAAATTATGTAATCACGTAGATTCGACAATGTCAAAGTCTGAGTTAATACATAATATAATGAAAGGATTACATCCAAAAAATAGCTCGATATGTCGGTATAGACAACAATAGTTTAAAAGATTTAAAAGCTTATATAAAAAAATACGAATCCATTTAATTTATGTTACAAGGGGATACCATACAATCCAATGACAATATAAAACAGCGAATAACTAGCGAAAATATTTATTAAATTAGTGAACAAAATAAAATGCAACAACAATCAGATAATAGAACTTCACAAATTTCTAAACTTTTTTAATTTCTAAACAGTTTTTATTAGTAAAAATAATAATGATAACACGGACAATAGCAAATGTTTATTTAATGGGAGGTTACAAGAATACTACAATAATACTGCGTCGAAACAACGACAATTTACCTTCGGCATATAACAATTTACGTCCAATATTTTATATTTATATTATAATGATACTCGCGCAAATAATTCCCAATAAAATAATAGACAATATGCTAATAGAAATAACAATTATAATTATAATCCCAGAAATACATATGAGCGAAAGAATAATTATATAATTATTTATATATATATTAGGGTGGTCTAAAAAAATTACATAAAAAAATTTTGTCCTCCTACCATCTAAATTTGTTTTCTAGAGTTTAAAAATAGTTTCCACATTTATACTTATGAAAAAAAATTATTTTTGAGCCATCCCAAGCAATTTAAAGTT